TACCAAAAATGAGAAGAAATGAACCCATTTCTACTTTTATTATCACATAGAATCTGCTTTATGTGCTAATAAAGCAGAGAGACTGTCTACTTGTGATGTAAAGAAGGCATAAGGATAGCACGTGTTTATTTTTAATTTAGACAAACTATTGTTTTTATAATAATGATAGGAATTCATATTTTACAGAAGAAAAATCAAAAAATGAAAAACTTAACATTTGTTTCTGATGTTTATCTCTCAAACTGCCCTCCACTTATTCAGAGAATGCAGTACTTCCCCAGTAACTAGAAATGAACTAGATATCTGTAAACTGCTTATAGTATTACCTAATTTGAATTATGTGGCAGACACAATGACAGTATTCTGTACTATGTTTTGTTATCCCAGGAATAAAGATCTAGAACTACCAGAACCGGTTATTACTAATAAACCAAGGATCAGATTTGTGACACCTTAACCCCATCTGCTGGATAACTGCTTGCTCTCAGTGCCACTTCATTCTCTGCCATATTTTATATATCAGATACCAGTGGCAGCTTTATTTCTACAGTTCCTGTTGCCTGTCCTCCCCAAAGAGAAATAGCTCTTTTGGTTCAGTCAAGTTAGGTGGTTGGCAACAAAATTTCATACCAATTGCAAGACTCTCTCCCATTTGTAATGGTTATCCAGTTATTTGTATACAAAGAAACATTTATGTAAGACACTTTAAGAAAGAAGATTATTTTTCAATTTCGTTAAAAAGGAGTTCTGTTTAAAGCAGAATCTGGCATGAGGACCCTTTGTTTTTAAAAAGTTTCATTTTTTAAAGCAAAGACTGCATCTTAGAGATTTTGAAATATATAGTGTTTTGACCAAATATATTTAATTTTACTTCAGATACTTCAATAAGTTTTCTAAGTGGAAGACCCTAATAGAAATCTATATGCACTAGTCAGTGACATGGACTGAAAAACTTACCTTGATAACACATCCCACTGCTGCCTACTAAGAAGCTTTATTGGGTGTAATAGAGGAAAACCTGTACTTATACATGTTATTCATATGCATATATGTAATGTATCCTTGTGTGCATAATATGTACACAATTATGTATGTGGACTTAGTCAAATGTGTCCCAACTTCAATGCTTATGCCCAAGATGTTTGCCTTGAGGTCTGAGGTAGTATACATAAAAAGTTTAGTTGGCTCCCAGGTGAATCAGGTGAAATATGAGGGCTCTGCTTTATCTAGTTTGAAGCAAGGACTAGACTGCATCTTCTTGTGTGCCCTGGGTTGGACTCCACATATTAACAGTCAGAGAGGAAGAAACTGGGTGGAATGAGGGGATAGCTTGGAGCTAATCCTTCTTCCAAACAACACAAAGTTCTTTTCTATACATAGTCTCTGTACACATTACAAGATTCCACTTGATTCCTCTTTGAGGAATGATGCCCATGGCCCTTTGTGTGATCCTCTGGGATGTAGCTCTGATTTTAAATTATGAGTGTTGAACACATCAAACTGGGTATGGGTTCCTTATGGAGAAGGCTCTCATCTTGTTTAACAGCTACTTCATTACCTCTCTCTACTGGATGCTTAACAAATGTTTGTTTTAAATTATAGATGGTGAAAGATACTTAATGTATGTAATTTTATAGGATTATTAAAGCAGATTTTTATCTTTTCAGCAAACCATTCCTCAAGCAACTGCGGCAAAATATCCCCGGACCATTCATCCCGAAAGTAGTACCTCAGCTTCCAGAGCACTTGGAACCAGATCGACTCACACTCAGTCTCTCACAAGTGTTCATTCCATAAAAGTGGTTGACTAAAGCGAATGTGTTCATAGGGAGGTCTTCTAATTCCTCTGGTTTTACCAAGAGTTAGAAGTCTTTAGTTTTTAACTTTTCCATATTCTTAGAACATCATGGATACATCAAGTTAACCTATTCAAAATTACAAGAGACTTTTTCAAGCTCTACCATCTTTTGTAATTATATGTAGAAATTATTTTAATGTTATTTTTTATTTAAGCAATTAAGTAAAACTTTTTTAAATTAAAAAGAAACTGGACTTTATTATGTTTAGCCTGTTATTGATTATATCATCAAAGTACATGCCTTTTTCTCACCACATTCTTTCTAAAAGACTAAATCATTTCCAGTGTTACAGAGATGTAATTTACACAGAACTTTGAGAGGAACCTTTAGAACTAGTAGAAACTGAGATATTTTTGTTTTTAAATTAAAAAATTAAGGACCAAGTGTAATAATGATGTTTTTATCACAAAGTTTTTTTGTGTGGCTTCAGTGTATTAGTCTTCATTTTTCCAGGACTCTAACAATTGAATATAGATGGAAATGGTAATACCCATGAATCACTTTTTAAAAGTGCTAAAAGTGAAAAATTTTTAATACTAGCGCAGAGTTACAGAAACATCAAAAACAAATTTCCTGTTACAATAATCCTATTTCTGATGTTCTTTTTCTCCTTATTTGAAACTAGCATTGAACTCACATTGTCCTCTCTGAACCATCCAAACATTGTCCTGTGATAGTGTAACCCTGCACAATTTAGCCAAACCATCTAGGCCTGGGCAGAAATTTTTCAATGGCTGGCCAATAAGAAGAAATCATCTGGGCAGAACTGATTTAGGAGAATAAGACCTTGCTTCTAATGGTTTTATCACTGACTGTGTTATCTTGGACCAGATGCTTAATTTAAATGAATCTCAGGATCCTCATCTGTGAAATAAGAGTAAAATCTGCCAACCCTACCTATTTCACAAAGTATTTATGGGGTACATAAAAATGAATAGTCTCTGAGGAATCTGTCTAGCACCTCAATTTCCATATCTTTAGCAGAAATAGATAGACTTAATCTGAAGCCTGTTCCAATTTGAACATGATCTAGTTCTATTCTCTAATTTTATTATAGGAAATAGTTTTTCTTGCTCCCTCACATTATTAATAGGACATCAGAGAATAAATGTGATCTAGGGAAATAAAATCCCATTTTTTAACAGTGTACTCTAAGGCCTTTCTGAATTATGGAAGTTTGAAGCTATTTCTCAGAATATTAGATACATAAGCAACACTGTTCTGGGTTATGTCCCAGCTACCATTATGGCAAACAGCTGCACTCTTCATGGGCTTCAACAAGGTTTTCATGAGCAAAACCCAGCCACACCTCACCTCATGCCCTTTCTGTGTGCATGCTCCTTCCCCAGGCTTCCCGACTCCCAGTAGAGACATGAGAGACCGCTGGCTCCACTTAGACCTGACTCATGCAACCCAGCATTAACACCCCATTGTTGTAAACAGATCCAGTTCTTCCTCCTTTCTCCCTTGTATGAATTGTCCTGAGATGCATTAGTCTATCATGTTTCTCATAAGAGAGCAACCCCAGATCAAATAATTAGTTATGCTCATTCCAAGCCAATTTGGTAATTCATTTCATCCTGGCTCTCCTCCTTCCTTGGTTCACTCCCCTTTTGTTCCACTCCTGCTTCCTTGGATTTACACTCCTGAAAAAGGTCTTACACATAAACTTTGACCTTCAGCTTTACTTTTTGAGGAATTTAGGCTACAACTAGGAATGGTTTTTGGTATCTATGCCAAAGCCATATGGAAAAACTAAAGTGAATGCTGTGAATGTTGTAATTAAGAATATTATAAACAGTCCTAGCTACTCAGGAGGCTGAAGAGGGAGGTTTGCTTGAGCCCCAAAATTCAAACCCAGGCAAAATTTGGTCTCAAAAAGACATCTTACAACACAGGTGTTAAAAAAAAAAGGGGGGGGAGAAAAAAAAAAGGATATTTATAAACATCTTTTAGTGTTGGCCTAAGGTAATGTAAATTCAACAATTAGAACACTTTATAAGTAAGAGTATGTGTGCATATTTATTTTTACATAAAGAGGTTACCCAGATTCTGGGGGTTGGGGGAGCACAAGATCAGTGGAAACCGGCCATATTGAACAGATAGGGGACAAGATTTTTCACTCAATAACTTCTTAAATGTTTCGGAATTACGTGAATATAGTACCTGTTTTAAACATTCATAACATTAAGTGGGCCATTTACAGTCAGTATGAGACAAAGATGTAAAACTGTAAATTCATGATAGAATAACTGGACTGAAATTTCTTATGATTTTATTATGTGCTTGAAGATTTAAAGTCAGAATTTGAGAATGGAGAGTCTTAAATTGGATGAATAGGTACACAATAAACTGACACAATTGATACTTGATTTCACATTTACTTCTTACCTTTCCAGATTACAAAAAAATTGTGTATTCACTGTGAAAAAATTGGAATATACCAAAAAGTACAAAGAAAATAAAAATCACCTGCAATTACATCACCAAGAGATTAAAAAAGACATTGGTGTATATACTTCTGATCTTTTCTCAATAATATATTACATGTAGGTATGATTTAAAGCCAACAGTGACTATAAATTTCTAAACCCAGTTTCTCTTACTGAAAGAAATAATGATTCATAATTTCCATACTGTGGCATGAGGTTAGGCATTTCATGGGCATTCTCCCTTCATCTTCACCCCAATCCTATGGAATAGGGAGACATTTCCCCCACTTTATAGAGAAGGAAACTGAAGATCTAAGATATTAAGATCTAAGATCTAATATTACCATGCCAAAGGCTTACAGCTAATAAGAAGTAAAACCAATTTCAAAACCTTATGTATCTGCCGGGCATGGTGGCTCACGCCTATAATCCTAGCACTCTGGGAGACCGAGGTGGGTGGATTGCTCAAAGTCAGGAGTTCGAAACCAGCCTGAGCAAGAGTAGAGACCCATCTCTACTATAAATAGAAACAAATTAATTGGCCAAGTAAAAATTCTATATTAAAAAAAAAAATTAGCTGGGCATGGTGGCATGTGCCTGTAGTCCCAGCTACTTGGGAGGCTGAGGCAGAAGGATTGCTTGAGCCCAGGAGTTTGAGGTTGCTGTGAGCACGGCACTCTAGCCTGGGCAACAGAGTTGAGACCCTGTCTCAAAAAGAAAAAAAAACCTTATCTATCATAAAACCCTTGTTTTTTTCCATATACTATGTATGCTGCTGCTCCACCATCAGGTTTTGTTAAACATGATGTTCAGAACCCTCAGATTAAGCTATTACATGTATTACATCAAATGACAGAAATGGGAAAATCACATACATCTTGCTTTAAGCAAAAACCAAAAAGGATATTTGACTTTCTGTGGTTGAAAAGTATAACAATATTAGTCTTTTTTCATCTGTTAGAGGATCCTGTCACCGCCATCTTCATAGTCAAAGGAAAAATCAATACTGCTAGAAAAAATTTATGGCATCAAAAGAACTTAATGCTCAGTGGAAAATCATTTAAATATAATTTCCTTAGGCATTTATGAAACTGCACATTTCTTGGAGCTTGAGTCAGTTTTGCTTTTGAATTGACGACTCTTTTCTGGAAAAAATAGGATAGCATTTATTATTAATAGCTAACATCTTTTAAGCACTTACTATGTGCCAGGCACTATTACCCATTTAATCCTACAGCAGGCCTTGGAAGTAGACATTTTTATTTCCTTCCCTAGTGAATAAATGAGAACACTGGTACAGTGAGGCCACAGAACTTGCTCAAGATCATACAACCGGTCTGTTCAAGTTCAGCGATGAGCCACACAGTCTAGCTTCACCACTGCAGTGCACTGCATCTTAGTCTTCCCTGAGAGTTCTCATGGAAGCTCTTTTATAGGAAAGATACATTTAAAGTTGAGGGGAAAATTCCAATGTTAGGATAATGTCATATAAGGTACTATTCCTTGTACCTATCACTGCCTGAAACTATTAGATCAGTGGTCTGATTCACTCACTTAGGTTTTCAGCTCCATATAAAATTACTTTGGTGAAAATATGGCAGATGTCCTCATATCTTGCTTGAACAGCTGTTATTACATAAGAGTCCTAACACCACCTAATTTATTGATAAGTTTCTAAAGCATCTTCCCCAGCAATATGGTCAGTGATTTGGGCAGAGTGATTTTTAGCAACACCCTTAGCTGGAAAAGTAATAGCCTGTCTGCCCTTTTCCCTCGAGCTAGGAGTAACATTTTCAAATACATTAACTTGCAATTTCCCAACAGGGGCAAAATGGCATTTTGAGCAAAACAAGTCTTAGTTGTGGAGAAGAATACTATAACCGTATGAGAGGGTTTAGCATTTCTGCCCCACCCCACCTACTACCTACACATAAACAAAAACATTCCCACACTTTTTCAAATGCCCAGACAGGGGGTGACACAGAACCCCAGGCTAAAACATGACCAGTATTGACTGGGTCACTCGTCAAAGGAGAAGGTGCTGACAGCATACAAGCCCCTTCCATAGCTCTGTGTCTGTATGAGCCACAGCTAACACCGAGATGGGCCTGTTGCTGTTCAGGGAGGTGTTTCTGTTCACTGTTCTCTGCCATTTTAAAGGAGAAGGTGTTTCTATTTGTAGAAACTGTCACTCACCAGCGAGTTCTGGGAAACCTGCGCGTACCAGCTCTTCATACAGGTACTTGGCCGGATCAGCCTGAGTCATCAGGGCTCCATGCAGCCAGATGAGCAGAGCCCTATGGCCATGTTCACGGAAGCTTTCATCTCCTGTGCCAAGCACAAGAGGTCCAAGGTAAAACACCACAAGCTGATGTCTCTTTCTATTATGATCTCTATTTTAACTAGACTTTCTGTATGGCTGTGGCTGCACGTCCATTCCTCTTCTGCTAAAGCGAGCCCTCCCAGCTGCCCTCACTGGTACTATATGATAACCAGCATCTGGATTTACTCCAGCCCTTGCCATGCACCTACTGTGGTTGGCACACACCCAGGGAAGTACGTATACAAGAGACAGGACAGCTGTACCTGCCTGGCAGTAATGGACAACCTTAATGAGATGTGGACCTTTTCTTCAGTGTTCGGGTAGCACTAACTTAGGCCAGCACTTCTTGGTGCATATTTTACCTGGGTATCTTATTAAAATGCAGATTCTGATTCCCTAGGCCTGGAGTGAGAGTCTGCACGTCCAACAGGCTTCTGGGTACTGCTGCTGCTGCTGTTCCAGGAACCACACTCAGGGCAGCAAGCATGTACCACACTGCCACTCCAGCTTCAAGAAAACTGCTCTGAGAGAAGTCGGCATCCCCTGGGTCAGGATTATTCATTTGATAAATGCTCACTGGACGCCTCACCCAGATAGGTAATGGGGGAGGTGCTGGGATAGGGAGCTGGGAAGCCACTGTCACTCCCAACAGGAGTTCACAGTTACAAACACAGGACAGGCTCCTTGCTCTGTGGGAGAGTGTGTAAGAGCAGACAGATGCTGTGAAAAGGATGGCCTGAGCTCTGGGGAGAAAGTTCACTGGACAGACTGTTCGAGAGTACAGGCATTTTAGAGAGAGGGAACTGCATGCATAAAGAATGCACTCCTGGGCAAATCTGCTGTCCTTCTTGCTCTTGACAAACTAGTTTTTCTTAAATACCATCATCAATGTGTCACTGCTTCGCTCAAAAGCCCAGAAGCTCCCTGGTGCTGGTGGTAGCCTTCTCCTGGATTATAACTGAATTGTGAATGTTATTGTTGTCGTGCCAACTAGATTATAAACTCCATCAAACATGCATGACTGAGAAAGCTGAGGTCTCCCTCATCTGACAGATATAAACATGCTCCAGGCACTCCACAAAGGCTCCACTGAAACACTTTCAAAGCCCCAGTATCCTGCTGGCAAGTACTCTGAAGGCACACTGTATTTTGGGGACATTTCTTTGTTTTTAAAACAAAGAAGGTCAAAAGAGAGTTCCAGAAGGCTAAAAGACTTTACAGAATACTACATGCCTAATTAGCAACAAAGGAGAAATCGTAACAAAGAAGTCTTTTCAGAAACTAGTCAATATTCAATGTTTTCAACACATTAACTTCCATTTTTTCACATGAAAATGTATCCTTAGGATTAGCAATAAAAAGTTCCATAATTTACTTGCCTGTGCCCTGGGGCCGTAGGTCTGCCCTCTATTATTCCTGGCAATCATTAATGCAAATCAACCCCTGAGCATGGGGCACCTTCCCATCTCATGATATCCATATTGAGGGGAGTGCTTTGAAAAAAAACCACGCAAAGAAAACCATTTGTTTCTTTGTTTATAAAGCTAATTAGTTGACTAATGCCAAGCAAACTTCCTATATTTCCTAGATTTTGGTCAAACCATAAAAAAACAAAGCAAAGGAATCCAGCTGTGCTAACCTCACTAATTCTGGCAGCTTGAGTCTGGCTGAAACGATCCCATTGCTTGGAATCATCCAGCCAAGACAGCCTCTGAGTCTATACACCCCCCCCACACACACATCTCTCACGGGGCAGCCAAGTCTGTCCCAAGGCCATTGTCCTACAAGAACCCCTTCCCCCACCTGCCCTGTTTAAGAGATTCTTCTTCCTGGATGGAAACCCTAAACAGTAAGACTTCTGACTATGGAACAAACCCACACACTCCAGACAATCTCAAGGAATACCAGAAACCAGACTGGCTTCCCAGTGATACATCAAACTGTTAAATCCTTGTTCCTTAGTGCCCATTCAGTTAGGAACCTTAATTTCTTTCTAGGCTAAATACCACCTTTTTGATTTGGCTCAAAAAATAATAATTCTTCGCAAACTTCAATTTACTGCAGATTCCCATGAGTGTTAGCTTTCAACAAAGCACCATTCCTGGGGCCCTTGGAGTCTGCTGCTTATATGAGCAGCGGGCACTTACTTGGAAGATCTCACACCAGGAAGGACTGTTGTTCCTAATGCTGAATGCCTCAGGCCCATGTCATCTAGCTGTACTCACCTGACCACTGTTCCTCGATGGCTCTGATCTGGTTATCTGTGAAGTTCCATGAACGGGCCAGCTTCTGCCACTGGTTGGCCTTCAGCTTACGGTAAGCTAGGTTCCAGAGGAGCATGCGGATATGCCTGGTCTCCAGACTGTGATCTTGCTTGAACGTCATAGTAAAGCCTGTTGACGGGTCCCTGACGCTCTCATGACGCTCCTAAGTTGAACACAATCATCTCAGATGGTTTCAGACATGTTCCACTTACTGCCTTATTTCAGAGCGTGCATATGTTTTAGATATAGTTGGTAAGGTGATAACTGAGACTACGTATTCAATGTCATCTGTCACTGGGTCGTTTTTTTCATCCAAGATGGAGGCAAATGTGTGAAATAAAAAGCTGGAGTACTGTCTGTCTGACTCAGGAAATGTGAGGGATTTTGCAATGTGGTGTCCCATGCTGCTGACCAATATTTTCCCACCCTACAAGAAAACAGAGGTGCTGTCTTGGGGAAGGAAAGGTCACAACAACAAACACATCTTTAATGGCCTTCCTTTGAACCCATATCTCCCTTTCTTCTTTTGGGTATTTGATCTTCTCATATCAAAGCTTTGGTGGGTCTCAGATCGGGTATATTCTTAATAAGACTCCATAGCTTTTCCCTCAATTCCTCCTGCTCTCTGGTGAGTGTGAAGAGAGCAAACTAGGAGCCTAACTCAGGATGGGGTTGGGGAAGAGCTAGCCAAGGGAGTGGAGAGGACAGGAGCAGACACCGATTAGTTTTAAGTCACTACAGCCAGGCTCAGCCCCATAGCACTACACCTAGATAGACATCTTGTTTTCTGGTTTTTTGAAGTTTCTTTTTGTCCCTTCTGCAGAATCAAATAAAAAAAAAAACTGAAAAAAATCTCCAAGTGAAAGCAGGTGTCCTGCCTTCCTAGAAATGCATGTCATGCCAATGTCTTCAGGCCTCCAGAGAGTTCTCCTGTAGAAGTTTGCATATCAGTTAAGGACATGCAGCCCACCAAAAGGTTTAGGATTCCAATGTACTCTCCTTTCCTTTTTTTGTGTATAGTGACTTCTATTTTTGTCTTTCACTTAAATAAAAGTGAATTTTAATGAAAGACATTCTGAACAACAAGATGGAAGCCAATGCTGGGGCAGGAAAAGGGTGGAAAGGATATAGGACCATGGTTTTCAAGAGCTCTCCAAGCTCTTCCTTGGAAGCTTGGCCAAGAAGAAGGGCAAGACCTTTCTCTAGTATCTGGAGCTTTGTGTACAGACGTTGAATAGGAATAAGAGGCACGAACTACTCATAATTGTTCTAGAGACTGTAAAAGGCAAGGTCTGCTCCCACCTGGCCTCAGCTTTACTTCCACTACACCTCACTCCCAGGAATCCCACAAGAGGGAAGGCTGAGGGTAGGGAGAGCCAACGCACTTGGGAACCATGGGCACTTTGCTTTGTCCTTTTCTCTTCATTCCACCTCCTAAAACAATGATGATCCCAACAAAATCAAAACCCCAAAAACCAGAAGGCAAAGGGAAGAATACAAAATGCTCCAGCATTCATCTTTATGCTGTAGCATTTTTATTTATTTATTTATTTTGAGACAGAGTCTCACTCTGTTGCCCGGGCTAGAGTGTCGTGGTGTCAGCCTAGCTCACAGCAACCTCAAACTCCTGGGCTCAAGCGATCCTCCTGCCTCAGCCTTCCGGGTAGCTGGGGCTACAGGCATGCACCACCATGCCCAGCTCATTTTTTCTATATATTTTTAGTTGTCCAGCCAATTTCTTTCTATTTTTTCAGTAAAGGCCGGGTCTCGCTCTTGCTCAGGCTGATCTCAAACTCCTGAGCTCAAACAATCCACCCACCTCGGCCTCCCAGAGTGCTAGAATTACAGGCATAAGTCACCACGCCTGGCCTAGCATTTTCATTTTTTAAAGAAGTGTGCATGCTTTGTGCATTTCAGGATTGGTTGGGTGGTCCTTCAGGTTTCCATAGGAAAAGGGAGGGGATTTGGAAAGCCCAGGTCTTTCTCAACAGTCAGTGAAAACACTAAATAGCTTATCTGCCAAAGCACTGCACTATTTGCAGGAATAACATGAGCCAGAATTGGTGGAAATTAAAATAACATAAGCCAAATTTTTAGGAAGCTCTTATTTGCCTCTGAACCACTGAATTTAACAATATATGACTGGGTGTTTAGCTTAATAGATATATAGATATAAGTAAGAGAGGAAATTAGGGTTAGGGTCCCTTTAATCTTTTCATTAGGAACCATATTGTATTGGGCCAGGATATAAACTTGTTTAATGAACTAAGAGGATTTGAAATAATAATAAATGCATTTGGTAAAAAAAAAAAAAAAAAAAATTAAGACTATGTATTAAAATACAAGTCTGCCTCCCACCCAGACCTCATGATCTCAGTCTTCACCAGAGTGAACAATGCTGACCATTTTGGGGGGTGGGGGTGGGGTTTCCCTCAGCTATATTTATATATAATGTATGGTTTTCAATGTTTATCTAACTCTTACTTCTTAAAGATTTGTTAGGAAAGAGGATTTATTCATTTGGTAGAAAAGTAATTTATTCTTATCTAGCCAAAAGAATCTAAAAAATTCAGCATCATCTTTCCCCAGTAAGAATAAAGAAAAAAATAAATCTAAAAAATGCAGGTATTAAAAATAGAACCAATGAATACATCTATTTCCAAAGAAAATATAAAAACAAAAATTCAAATAGAAATAGAAAAGGTGGAACTTGGTTAAAGTTGTCTTTAGTAAAACACAGTGATGATTTAAGAAAATGAGCACAAGGATAGGAAAAGAGGAAGAGAAAAAGGCGGGGAGAAGGAGGAACTATAGAAATAAGAGGAAGGGAGGAGATGAAACAGAGAATTTGAATCATTTTAAAAAATGTTTATTTTGTTTTACAGGCAAAATAGGTTTTTTTGTTTTGTTTTATAGGCAAGAAAAGTTGCAGGGAGGATGGTGCAACCTTTAACAGGATCCATATATATCAAGACTCCTAAGCCAATTAAACAGGATTGTGAGAGAGGAGACCAATAAATGCTTTTTGCTTTAAAGATTTAAGAGAAATGTCCCAGGATTGGCCAAGTGGACAGCAGCCCAGGTTTGCAGCTCCTAGGGGGAGACACCTGAATGATGAGGACCTGAATTCTGGAGTTCACACACTAGACCACAGGTAGCCATGCAGCCTGAGATGCAAAGGACATATCACAGTAAGTTGAGGGTGGTGTCTGGACATTCTTGCCTGAGGACATAGACTTGAATCTGGGAGAGGAGGGCATTCTATTGAGAAGCTGCATGAGTGACAGATACCAGAGGAAATAAAAATGAAAGAACGGCAAAAATAATGACTTAGAGACAAGATTTTTTGTGTTTTCAGATGAATAAGGTTTTCATGACCGTCACAGAATGCTAGAGTGCCAAAAAACCAGTGTTGAAAACCACAGAGACAGAAAAAAGGAAATATTTTTACCATTCATTAGAGCTTCTGGGAACAGCCCATAGCCAGAGTGTAGACAGAGGGCACAGCCAGGGCGTCAACCACCAGGGGTTTGCACGCCAGGCCTGTTAGAGCCTACGGATGAGGCTGCTCAGCCCAGCGGAACTCTATGCACTCTCACTCAGCTCTGACGTCTGAGGCCGGCAAAGGAAGAGGCAGCTGCTCATTCATTAATGGGGGCAGGGCAGGACAGAAGGGACAGTTATAATTGTACTTACCAGGGCTCAGCCCATTAGAGCAGGAAAAAAGAATTACACAGATCCCACACTGCCCCATAAGAAGATGGGGTTTCCAGAATAGCCCCTTGCTGTGCTGGGATCACCCTTCCTTACCTCTCTCCAAGCATAGTATCTCTCTGCTTTAATGAGCATGTCCACCACAAGGCTATGGTTGCTCCTGGAGGCCACTGCCAGGGCAGTCTTCCCTTGCTAAAAGTTAAAGAAAGTATCAGGTGGTGTGACCTGGTAGTTAGGAGCTCTAGCTTTAGAACGAGAGGGCCTGGGTTCAAATCCTGATCTTACCCCTCCCTACCTCTCCCACCTCTTTTGCTAGGTAAACTTGCCCAGTTCTAGCTTCTTTGGGTCTTAATAACTGCCCCATGGAATAGCAGTAAGGGGTAAATGATAATGCATATAAGGCCCTTAGAATATGTGCCATTTGAATGTTTCCCTTGCAGTTAGGTATGTGACCTAAGTTCTGGCCACTGGCATGTAAATGGAAGGGGCACATGCAACTTTTAGGAACTATCTTTAAAGAGAGGGGTGGATGGCATTCTCCGTCCATCCCTCCTCCTCCTAAGTGGAATGCTGATATGATGGCAGGAGCTTGAACAGCCACTTCAGACCAGGAAGTAGAAGACATATTTTGAGGAAGGCAGAGTAATAAGACAGAAGAGGTCTGGATCTTATTAAAAATAACATCAATAATGACAACACTAGTAATTCATGGCACAGAATTCAGATCACTGGACATCCACGAGAATTTTTTCCCATTAATATTACACCACATATATATGGTATATATATCTATATATATGGCCTCTAACCAAGGGTGAGGGGCTCAAATCTTAATCAAATGGGATGAGCAAAAAGGCTGTTCTGGACATAATTTGGGGAATGAGCTGCCTGAAGCTCACATGGTGTCTTATATAGATTACAAGAAGGTATACTTTTCTCAAGATGGATAGAGCACAAAGCACAGCTTTGCAAGCAGAGTTCCCTAGACTTCATACACTGTACAATTTCTATGTCTAAACATTTTTTCCTGAGCAAAGGATGGTGGTTCTCATTTGCTTTTCAAATGACCCATGTAGAATTTGTTCAGAGACCCTGAAGATAATTAAAATTAATGGTCAGAAATAACCCCAGAAGAAGTTCCAATCTTAGGAACCTGTGTTTCTACCCTTATGGATTCAGAAATGTATCCCAAGAATTCTCTTACATTGCTAGATATTTACAACAAGTGCAATTCCCACCAACACAAATGATTTTGTTGTTAGTCTAGGCGCTAAGACCTAGGTGAGCTGGAAAATTAGGGCTGAAAGTAAGTAATCAGCCTCTAATCAAAAAAGATAGTAATGAAATTAGGAAGAACTGCATTTTGCAGGCATTTAGCAAGCCTCTAATTGTATGCTGTCTAAATTCTGGCATGTAAAGCCATTTGAATCACCATAATTAGCCTATTTTGGGAAGGCAGTATTCAGAGAGCCAGAGTTTTCAAGCTCATGAGAAATTCTTCCTAGGGAGATTGTTGATCTCCCTATGCTAGGGTGAAAGTCCAAACACTTCTGCCTGTGGAGGGGTGGGGAGTCTGGGGTACCATCCTCTGCAAGCTCTGTGTTGCCTCAGTCTGAGAGGACTGGCTTCTGGAAAAGCCAAATTTACACCAAACCTTAGCTCATTTCTTCCTATCCAGACCTTAGTGAAGTCTTAGAAACACTTACATTTGGTAAAAATTGTAGAAGCCGGCAGAAAAGATAGTCTTTATTCATTAATTAAATATGCATTGGGTGCCAACTATGTGCCAGACCCTGAAAAGAGGAGGAGGAGGAAGAGGGAAATCTGGGAAAATAAAATTGTAAGGCCTAGTAAACAGTGAGCTTTTGTTTTGAAAACAAAGTCAAGTGGTAGCATTGACTACGTTAACTGGAACATGCAGTCCCCAAGTACCAGGGTCCCCAACATAAAAGCCTGCCCAACACTATAGATTCTCTACCCACAAAATTGCCTTGGAGGTGTTAAGTATTAATGAAAAGGTAGAATAAATTGCAAAAAGAAAGCATAGGGAGAATAGTAACACTGAATGTTAACCAAGTTAACCAGGCACAACTGGTGAAAGTTGTGGAATTCCACCCGTGATGGAATTGTGGGTGGTTGTGTTTTCCTTCCTATGCTTTTCTGTGTTTTCCAAATTGTCCACCGAGGGCTCATATTACTTTTAGGACCAGAAAAAAAAGAGTTAATTTTAGAAACTGACACACAGAGAAAAATAAAATAACCTATCACGACTTCAGATCCTACACATGTAGAATGTGTGATTCTGCACTAGAGCAGGGTGGACTTGGGCTTGCGTTGTGAATTCGGGAGGTGCTGGCTAGGGAGCTGTGTGGGTAATGACAAGGAAGGGGAAACCTCACATTTTGGAGGAAGTCCTCTTTGCCAACAGTTGTAGGAAAGCGCTGGATGACAGAGAAGTCCCTGCTTGAGTTCAAAGCTGGCTCTGCCTCTTACATGTGTGTGACCTAATGTCATCAAAATCTTTCCAGTCTTCTCTTCAAAATGAGTAATTCTGTCCACCTCACAGAGGAGATGTGAGGATTGAAGACAAATGGTGTGTGTGAGCACCTGACAGGGCTGGTCCCCAGGAGCCTCCTCCTACACCTTTCAGTAAGGCTGGAACCTAGCATGGCTCTGACAACCCTCCGATGGCTCAGCCTGCGTTACTGTACCCCTTGGAAGACACAAAATCATCTTTCTTTGAAAACAAGTTCACAGGCCTGGTGCAGTGGCTCACGCCTGTAATCCTAGCACTCTGGAAGGCGAGAGGTGAGAGGATAGCTTGAGCTCAGGAGGTGGAGACCAGCCTGAGCAAGAGTGAGATCCCGTCTCTACTAAAAATAGAAAAAATTAGCTGGGCATGGTGGTGCACACCTGTAGTCCCAGCTACTCGGGAGGCAGAGGCAAGAGGATCGCTTGAGCCCAAGAGTTTGAGATTGCTGTGAACTAGGTTGACGTCATGGTACTTGCCAGGGCAACAGAGTGAGACTCTGTCTCAAAAAAATTAATTAATTAATTAATTAAATAAAATAAAGTTTACAATAACCAAAAGGTAGAAGCAACCTAAATGTCCGTGGACGAATAAATAAATAAACAAAATGCAGTATATACATACAGTGGAATGTTATTCAGCCTTAAAAAGTAATAAAATTCTGACACATGCTACAGCATGGATGAATCTTGAAGACATTATGCTAAGTAAAATAAGCCACTCACAAAAAGGCAAATACTGTATGATTTCACTTACATAAGATACTTAGGATAGTCAAATTCATAGAAACAGAAGAAAGCAGAATGGTAGTTGCCAGGGACTAGGGGAAGGGAGAAATGGGGAGTTATTGAATGAGTGTAAAGTTTCACTTTTGCAAGATGAAAAAGTTTTGAAGATTGATTGCATAACAATATGCATATACTTAACACTAATGAACTATATGCTTAAAAATGGCTAAGACGGTAAATTTTATGTGTATTTACCACAATTACAACTTCTTTAATTAAAAAAAAGTTTAAACACATGTAAGTTTATTCATTGCTGCTCTGTTTATAATAGCAAAAGCTTAGAAACTATTTAAATGCTCAGCAGTTTAGGACTTATTGAACAAATTATGTCCATACCATGGTCTACCATGCAGTTGAAAAGAAAAAAGAATGAAGAACCTCTCCATTTATTAATATGGAAAGAGCTCCACTTTGTAATGTTAAGGGGAAAAAAACTAAATGCAGAACAGTATACTGTATATAGGTATGCCAGCAGTGTCTAAAAAGAGCAGAGGAATGGAACAAGAATATAATGTATTTATGTTTGCTTATATATGCCTAAAGAAACTCTGGAAGAAATTAGAAGAAATTTATAATAATGGATACATATAGCCAGTGTCAGGCACGTAAGAACAGGAGTAGGTGGGAAATTTTTACTGTAAAACCCTTACTAGTTATGTTTTTATTTTTGGACCATGTGAATCTATAATCTTTTCAAAATTTTAATAAATAATTTGAATTTTAAAACACATTTTGTTTGAGTGAAAATTCTTACTGACATATGTCAATCAAAATTGGAATGCTTTACTGACAGAAGATGGAAGGTTTCTCCAGCCTGTGCCTTTTCACAGAGAGAGTATGCTAATGCTGCCGCTCAGGGCTGAGGGCCAACAGGGAGGGCTGAGCAACCACCTCCGCTGATCAAAGTGAGGTCCATGCAATTACCTTATCAACAGCCTTCAAGTCACAGCCTGCCTTCAGCAGGGTTTCCACCAGCTCCACATTTCCAAGATCAGCAGCTACATGCAGAGGGGTTTGCTGTCTCTGCCATGAGAAATTTAAAAAATGTAAGGCAGAAAGGAACCTTAGATATGATCTAGCCCAACCCCTAACCAGAAAGGGAAAGCAACTTTCCCAGGGTCCCATAGGTGGGCAATGGTGTGTAGCCCAGGACTCTTCCTACCAGAGCACAGGGCCAACCTGCTTAGAGTGTCAGCATGATTATTGCCAAAAAATCATTTATTAAGGACCCTTCTTTAGATGGTGACGTCCCCTTCCGGGGACACATCTTCCAAGACATCATACTTACACTAACCTATCAAAACTCTATACCACTGCTAAATTTGACTGGCTTAAAAAAAAAGTCTATACCAATGTGGAACAGAGACACACTGTAATGCATCAAATGCCAACAAAACCCATTTGGCAACACTGCTACAAGCCTAAAAGACAGGAAATGCACTAAAGCATTAACAAGAGTTATGTTTCTTTGGTGAGGACTACAAACACATTCAAGGTTCTTAGCTTATTTATATTTTCTTATTTTGTATAAATATTTTATGTTTAAAATATAATTTTTATATTTTATATGTGTATGCCTGGCCTAGCAAAAATAAAATAAAAGAAATGATAAAGTCTAGTTCTGTAAATGGATGGCAAGCCTAACGAACATTCCTACCCTAGAGCACATCTAGCCAATTCTGTTGAAAGCAAACTCACATCTGAGCACAAGGGTCTGTGTATCTAGCAAAGATTTAGCCCATTAGGAAAGATTTGGGGCATTAACATAGTTGAATACATAAGTATATTTAATAACAAAAGGTTTTTCTTTTCAAAAAAACTTTTGGGTTAGTAAATGCAGGTGGTGGCGAGGATAGGTTCCCAGGGGGAGGAAGGAACAGAAGTGCATAATGAGTGCATAAATGAGTCTTTATTCGGCTCAGAGCAAAAATTAACTCATAGTTTGGAATTGGGGAAGACTGCAGAGATCTGAGTCAATGCTCTGGTTTCACAGATGAGGAAACTGAGGGCCACACGGTGGATTAGGACAGGTATGCCCACTGCACTGTGGCGTCTCCCTAACCTGGAAGGGCACCCCTGAGGCTTTTTTGGGAAGAGGCAGCCTGAAGGTCTCATCTGGCCTCAGGCAGGACCCTGAAAGGGCGCCTCTTCCCTCGGAGGCCCCCTGGAAGAGAGTGGCTCAGCCCCAGAGAGCAGGCCGGGCTCACACAGTGCCCATGCCCGGCCTCTTTGTTATTCTACCTCTGCATTCCCAGCTCCAGCCAGTGATGGATTGCTTTTATGAGGCATTTGGTTCTGCTCCAGTTGATTGAACTTGCAGCAGTGATTTTTTTTCCCCCAAGAGGTCTCTTTTGCCTTTAGGCTAAGGGAAGACACACTTACTGTCTCTAATACAGAAACAAAGCTTCCTTCTTGTGGGGAAGGGCTCCCTGCCAATTACAACATTTCACATTTGGAGAGTGGCTTTTGATTAAGGAGCCTCTGGCAGTTTACCTCTGAGCTACTGTTTATCAAAGTGCTGGGCCTGGTAGATATAAAGGATTTAATCATGCACTGGCTGAACCCCAGTTGCCTTCTGAGAAAAAACAAATGGTGTGTGTGGGCATGGAGTGGGTGGGAGTTACAGAAGGAAAGGATAAAAAGAATGACCATGTTCCCCTCACTCCGAATTCTTAGGGCAGCTTGAACTTGATCAAAACTCCCCATAAACACATGCTGCATGGAAACATAGACTCTCCAGCTTCTGTTTTATTTGTCTGGCTTACCTGATTTAAGATGTCAATGTCATGCTGTGCCCTTAATAAGCTGTTTACAACTGTGATATGGTTGTTGGTAACAGCTATATGAAGGGGGGGACTCCTTAGGCTGCAGAGAGAAATAAAAATTTCAAATCCAAAAGATTCTGTTTCATCATTAAAATCAAAAAGCAACTCATTTCAGCAGATATTTCCTAATGATCATCCAAGTACTGGAATTGCCCATTCCAGTGGCGGCCCATGGTTAAATGTTTAGCAATCACTGCCACCCCAAGGCTGAGAAGCAAACCTGCTCACTAACAATCAGCTCTCCCCCTTCATTCATTCTGGGTCTATATACTGAGCACCTGCTGTGGGCCAAGCCCTTTTGGGAATGCCAGGGATTTAGTGGTGAGCAAAGCTCATTCTCAGGAACCTTCTAATCTAGTGAGCTAAGCAAATAATAGTTTTTCCAAAGTCACACAAATACAGTATGCAATTACAAATTGTGGTAAGTGCTTTGGAGGAAAAATAGAAAGTGCTGTGAGTGCATGGAGCCCGGAGGGAGAGCTGATCTCTGGGAGGTCAGAAACAACTTTCCTGAAGAACTGACATTTGAGCTCAAATATGAAGGATAAGCAAATATTAAATAGGCTGAACCGCAGGACTTCTCAGAGCCTCCAAAGAGCTAAAGGACAGTGGGAGTAGCCACAAGGGGAAAACAGTTGCACATTCAGCATTTCCTGAATTGATTTGCTCTGGAGCCCTCACTCTAAAGAGTGTCTTATGGGACTGATGTCCCCATTACTCAGGCCACCGTCTCATTCTCAGCCCTCCCACCTACACAGAGTCCAGCCACCATGTGTTCACCAAGTCTTTGCAGCCTGCTCTGTCCTCCTGCTTGGCTAACCTTCCCGTCTTCTCTGCCACAACCCTACTTGGAGCCCCGGCCCCTCGCACACATCCCCACTGTGGGTGGATCCCACTAGGGCTGTGGGCTTCCAGGAGTAGAGAAGGCAGCTGAGGTGGCAAAGGTGGAACAGAAGTGAGCAAGACAGGAGAGAGGGGTGAGGCTGCCCATCCAGAGAAGAGGGGGAGTGATGGGGAGGTGTTACAGGTGTCAGGGAGGGGGGGCTGAAGATCCAGTGAGACTGTGGGCAGGACAGGAGTTGAGCTGAGAGCAGAATGAGTGGAGAGGGAACACAGGTGTGTGTGCAAGGGGTGATTAGACTGAGTACAGTGTCACTCAAGTGAAACAGATATTATCAATGATACGCTCAGTTAAGCACATTCAACACCTTCTCATCACGGTGCTTACTCCACACTCACCTCCCCAACAGTTTATACTCTGTCTTAAACACTAGGCTAACAGCTTGTCAGGAACCATATCATTCATAATAACCCTAGGCGTTTGATTTTATATTCCCCATTCATACATGAGGCACAGAGAGTATCAGTAAGTTCCACAAGGCAACAGAGCAAGGAAGTAGCAGAGACAGGACTGGAACCCAGGTTCCTTCTCAGGAGATAGGGCTAGATGGATGGAAGAGAGATGTAGTGAGTTGGCAAGAGTATCACCAGCACATGGAGGGAGCAGAAGGGAGGGGACAGGTAGGACACCAGGGACGATCTCAGGTGAACCTGAGGGCTGTGGTGGGGGGTGTGAGGGGAAGGCTTTGTGGGAAGATCTCTTCTGCTCAGGAATAACCTCTTTTGAGGCACTGAGCATGAGAAAAAACATCTATCATCTCAAAGAAGTAGGCAGACAGTGTCCTTCCTGGGCCCCCCACCTTGCTGGGGCCCAGCTCTTGAGAAAAAGGAAGTGTCCTTGGACTGAACCAGGTAAGTTTAGAGCCAATCCCCACAATGCCATGCTCCAAAAACTATCAGACATGGTTCAAATCACATCCCTTCTCTTGAGTTAATATAATAAATAGCAATGGCTCAGCAAGATCAGAGAAAATAATATTCTCACAGGAGAAATGAAAATAGAGTGAAAAACAGAGGAATGTTTCTCATCTAATTCCAGCACAGAGGGCCTTTCTCATTCCTACCAAAGCCAATGCAAACTTTTGAAAACCTACATTAGTATAAAGGATTAACTTTCAAAAGAAAAACAGGATCATTCAGTGAAAGGGGAAAATTATCACTCTTCTTTATATTCATAGCAGCTTCATCATTTTCCCAGACTGATAAAATTAATACAAGAGTAATGGAATCTCTAGAAATACAAGAATGATTTATTGCAGCAAATACAAACATTTAAAACATAAAGATTACATTTTATTCAGGAATTTCAATGACTTTCTAAAATTCATCTCTGGATTTTATTTCTTAAGACTCAGCCTCCAAAAGAAGTCCATCAGCCTTCCCAGAAAGAATTTGTCCCTTGTGAAACATCTCCTCCCCTACAGGTATCTTCAGGGGATATCTCCCTGGTATAGCCAACCTCGTGGGGCCAAGACAAAAGCGCATAACATTGGAATAGACTCACTTCCACTTTCTGGTGCAGATCCACGTTCTCACTGAGAAGAAAGTTGACAAGGGATGCGTGGCCATTCCGGGTAGCTATCTGTAAACCACTGATATTGAGCTGTCAGGGACAGATGGAGAGCAAGTCCCATTAGAATCTAACCTGCTGTCTGGTATTTATCACATGGTAATCAATTAATATAATGAAATAGTACAACTATAATCATATGCCACATAACAACAGATTTTGGTCAACAATAGACCACATCTTCAGTCCCCAGCCCCCATGCTGCAGACTGGTACCGGTCCATGACCTATTAGGAACGGGGCAGCACAGCAGGAGGTGAGCAGTGGGCAAGTGAGTGAAACTTCATCTGCATTTACAGCCACTCCCCATCGCTCACCATCTCCCCCATCCATGGAAAAATTGTCTTCCATGACACCAGCCCAGGAGCCAAAAAGCTTGGGGAGTGCTGAATTGGTCCCATAAGATTATAATGGAGCTGAAAAATTCCTACAGCACAAGTACTTACCATTGTGTTACTATTCCCTTACACTATTCAGTACAGTAACATGCTGTACAGGTTTGTAGCCTAAGAGCAATAGGCTATCATATAGCCTAGGTGTATAGTAGGCTGTACCATGTAGGTTTGTGTAAGTATAACGCCTAAATTGCCTAACACATTTTTCAGAATATATCCTCATCATTAAATGATGCATGACTGTATTTAAAAAAGAAAATCCAATGTGTTTCCAATTATTTTGGGGGACCATTACTTCTAAGTGTCCCCCATAAAAATGTCAGAGTCTTAGGGAACATACATGCAATGGACTGAATATTTGTGTCCCCCCACAACCCCCCCCCCAAAAAAAATTCATATGTTTAAACTCTAATCCCAATGTGATGTTAGGAAGTGAAGCCTTTGGGAGATAATTAGTTCATGAGGGTGGAGTCATCATGAATGGGATTCATGCCCTTATAAAAGCAGGCCAGAGCTACTAGCTAGTTCTTTCTGCCACGTGAGGACGCAGCAAGACAGCTGTCTGTGAAGCAGGAAGAGAGAGAGCCCTCACCAGAACCTGACCTGTTACCACCCTGATCTCAGACTTCCAACCTCCAGAACTATGAGAAATAAATGTTGGTTGTTTAAGCCACTCAGTGTTACAGTATTGTTTTTATAGTAGCTAAGACACTATGCCTCAGGTAAATACACATTAAATCCCTTTTTCCCTTCTGGAAGTATGAAGTAGACTGGAACCAAGTCTTTTCTCTGTACACTCCAGCAAACCCCCCCTTTGCGCCAAAATGGGTGACTTGATATTTGCCCCAGGAAATTCCTCAGCAGTTTCCTGCACACCCCCCCTGTCTACTACTAGGGCCCCCTCTGGTAGGTAGGGTCTCATAGTTAAAAATGATTTTCGTCCCTGTGTAGTGTTCCCGTCACCTTCTTGCTCAGCTCCTATAGCACCTCTCGTTCCCTGAGCACAAGTGTCTGCACTTGGCGCCCAAGCTAGACGGCACACTGCTTGACCGCACAGCCTGCCATCCTTCAAAAGGCCCAACGCAGTGCCTTGCAATAATACAGGGTTAAGGAATTAGTGGCTGACTGAGTAATTGTAAGATTGCTACTTTCGGGTTTTTCAAACAAGTATGTTGTGGGAGATTGTCTTCCCCAAATGGCTGCATCAGTGTCTCCTGCCCTGCACACCCTTCTGCAATATGACCTTGCCACTCCCCCATTAAGAGGTAGGTAGGGCTTTTCTCTCCACTCCTCTGAATCTGGGTGGACATTATAACTGTTTCAGCCAATAGAATACAGCAGAAGTGGCAGTGCGCCAGCTCCAGGAGTGGCTTTTAACTGGCCAGTGGCTTTTAAGCTGCTGCTCTCTGCCTCCTAAAATGCTTGCTCTATCAATACTTTGTCTTGGAATCCAACCCTCAGGCTGTAGGAAGGCTGAGGAACTCTGAGAGGCCACATGTTGGTTGAGCCCAGGCAGCCCCAACTGACAGCTGACCTCAAGTGCCAGGCATGTGAGTGAGCCATCTTAGATACTGAGCTCAGCTGAGCCTTCGAATGACCAAAATCCCGGCTGACATCTCACTGTGATCACGTAACAGACCCAAAGTAAGAACCTATTGGCTGAGCCCAGTCAACCCACAGAGCCATGAAAGATAATAATACATTGTTTTAAGCCATTGAACTTTGGGCAGGTTTGTTATGAAGCAATAGATAACTGGAACAGAAGCTAACAGGAATGCTATGCGTATCTCTCTCCAGCTGAAATATAGCTTGAGCCAATGCTAAGTGCCTATATGACCTCAGATAAGTGGCCTACCAAGTATGGGCCTCTTTGTCCTCATCTGTAAAAATGGCAAAAGCATCTATATTGGTTTTCTATTGCTGCTATAACAAATTGCCACAAACTTAGTGGCTTAATGCAAATGTATTATCTTACAGCTCTGGAGGTCAGAAGTCTGAAATCGATCTGACTAGGCTAAAAATATAAAAGTATTATCAGGCTTGTGTTCCTTCCTGGAGGCCTTTGGGGGAATCCGCTTCCTTGCCTCTTCCTGTTTTTAGACACCTCTTATGTCCTTTGGCTCACATCTCCCTTCCTCTGTCTTTAAAGCCAGCAACAGTTAGCTGAGTCCTCCTCACACTGCATCACTGACCTCCTCTTCCGCCTCCCTCTTCCACAATAAGGTCCCTTGTGATTACATCGGGCCCACCTAATAACCCAGAAAAATCTCATTGCAAGGATCAGCTGATTAGCAACCTTCATTCCATCTGCAACTTAAATTCTCCTTTGCCAAGTAACATAACATATCCACAGGTTCCAGGAATTAAGATGGAACATCTCTGGGGGTAGGGAGCATTATTCTGCCCACTGCATCATCCTACCTCTTTTTCACAAACCATAGTAATACTGGGAGTATAATTGAGTAGTAAATATGTACAGTAATTGTAACCATTATTTTATTAATTCCACAAAACATTACTGAGTACCTATTTTGTGCCAGGCACTATGTTATGCTGTGGAGGGACATGTTGGTAAACAAAACTGACAAGATCTCTGATATTACATTCCAGTGGGGGTTGGATAACCAATTAATGATTGGTAGAATGGTAGATCAGTAAATCACTAGATTTAAAATAAATCTGTTTATTAGGTTCTAGATGTTATTAGAATAATAATATCAGCTAGTTGTACATGCAACAACAAAAAGTAAAGTAGCATGACTGGATGGCTACAGTAGGTGATCAAGAAAGCTTTCTTAGGCTGGGCACAGTAGCTCACACCTATAATCCCAGCACTTTGGGAGGCTGAGGCAGGAAGATTGCTTGAGGCCAGAAGTTCAAAACCAGACTGGGCAACATAATGAGACCCCAGCTCCACACACCCACACAAAAAAGCCAGGTGTGATGGCCTGTGCCTGTAGTCTCACCTACTCAGGAGGCTGAGGTGGGAAGATTGCTTGAGCCCAGGAGTTCAAGGTTGCAGTGAGCTACAATTGTCTGGGCAACAGACTGAGAGCCTGTCTCATAACAAACAAACAAACAACAACAACAAAATACCAACCCTCTTGGATAAGGTGACATTTAAACTGAGATCAGAATGGTAAAATGTGCCCCCACTGGGAAGATCTGAGGCCACCTAAAGCAGAAGGAAATTTGTGACGAACTCAAAGCAGGAATCTTATAACGGGAGGAGCTATGGGGGTCTGCAGCATTTACCCCTGAGGCACTACAGGCAGTGTGTAGGGCCTACAGACTTCAGAGCCAAATAAATCTTTGAAATCCAAAAAGAAAAAAAAAATTATTGGCTCCAAGATACCAAAAGAAAACCATGAAAATGAAGTAAATAAATATTTAATTGCTATTCATACTTCATTGATTGTTAAATGTAATATTCATAAAATATTCATTATATTTGTAAACAATTTGTAGGTTACATTTTTTCACCTCCCTTAAATTCTCTATTGGGTACACAGAGTTCTAGGAAATCACAGACAATCATAAATTAGGTGAGTTTGTTGTAGCCAAATAATTGTAAAAGCAAAAACAGCCTTTTAGAGTAATTAACAACAAACAAAAATGTATTTCAAGTGGAATGTGGGAGCACTTAAATATGTTTGATAAGACATGAAGTTGGACTTGCAGAAATATGAGTTCTTAGGACCTACAAAAGTCATCATCAGACCCAGGGCAGTTAATAAAGCCCTGAAAAGAGCCTGCTGCCCAAACTCTGCCTCCATCCAGCACAAAAGGAGGAAGCTGCTGTCCACAAAATTCATAATCTTACTCCAGTTTCCTCCTCAGAAGTGACTCAACCCTTTATCGGCTCCCCATGCTGATGCAGGGGCGAGGGGGTGGGGCGGGGGGCACAAAAGCAATTTGGAGACCAAGGCTGATAGTGTCAACAGGTGAAGCATTTCCAAGCTCAAATACAGCAATCATCTACAGGTGTGAAAGCAAAACTAGGTCTGACCCACCCCGTGGAAACATGTGTCCACACTGCTTGCCTCACCAGGGCTTCACCAGGTTGACAGAGACAGTGTAGATAGCAGTGGGGGCTGAGGTGGTTGATCTGAGCAGTGTGATGACGAACTTGGGAAATACTCTAGAAGAAATAAAAGCTGAAAAATGGACTCAGGACAATTTCCAGTCTGCCTAGAGCCTGTTCACAAGGTAGCTGAGGCCATTGGCTGTGAGAATATGGTCAACAGAGAGGCTGCAGTTTTAGTCCGGTGGGAGAACGTTTGCTTGTGAAAATCACTACAAAACAAAATCCCTGTGAGGGCAAAATAATCAAATACAAAAGTGAGGGAGAGGACAGAACAGTGAAGTGAGCCTAAGAGAGTCTTGCTAACCGGGGAGACCTTCCCAGGGACTTAAGGGGGATACAGACTGGGGACAGGGCAGCAGCTGTGCAATGACCGAACAGTAGCATAGCTCTCCACATTCTGAATATTTCATGGTGCCCATGAATTCTTAACTTTGTTTGCTTTATTACATCAATAACCTTGCAACTTTAGTGGAAATCAACTCACACCATCTTCATTTCCACTTTCCCTCACTATCCTTGTCTCTCTCTCTAAAATTGAATATTATTATATTAATATTTATTTATATTTTATTATTTATATTATTTTCAATTGATGTTCTATGATGAAAATTGTCTATATTGCAATATAATTTTAGTATCTACCATTAAAATTTTCAATGGCCATATAATTTCCAAGAAATAGATGCACCAAAATTTTTATTCTGCCTTCTCCTACCATTCATTCCACATATATGCTGTATCTAATTCTTGGCTATTGTAGCTAACTTTATCACCTATTTTAATGCATGTAGCTAGCTTTTCCCTCCCTTTAGAGTATTCCCTTAACATAATTTCCCATGGGTGAAAAGAAAGTGACAAATTGCTTTTCAAAGGGGTTGTACACACATATACTCCCACCAGCAAAATACAGGGTATAAAACATTACCAGTTTGGGATTTTAATCTCAATTCTAGTGTTTCACTTTGTACCTTTTGAAAAGGAATTGTTTATACAATGTGCTGATATAAAGATCTCTAAGACTGGCCGAGCGTGGTGGCTCACGCCTGTAATCCTAGCACTCTGGGAGGCCGAGGCCGGCGGATTGCTCGAGGTCAGGAGTTCGAAACCAGCCTGAGCAAGAGCAAGACCCCATCTCTACTATAAATAGAAAGAAATTAATTGGCCAAATAATATATATAGAAAAAATTAGCCGGGCATGGTGGTGCATGCCTGTAGTCCCAGCTACTTGGGAGGCTGAGGCAAGAGGATTGCTTGAGCCCAGGAGTTTGAGGTTGCTGTGAGCTAGGCTGACGCCGCAGCACTCTAGCCTAGGCAACAAAGTACGACTCTGTCTCAAAAAAAAAAGATCTCTAAGATATATTGGCAATCAAAAGAAATAAGTAAACCAAGATGCAGAGCAGCATATACTATATAGTGTGCTACCATTTATGTGGTATTGGTGTATGTAGGTGTCTGTGTCTAATCACATTTTCCATGTGAATGCATGGAAAATTCCTGGAAGACTAAATAAATTATTAATGATGTTAGTTCTGAAGAATGACATTGAGATATGAGGTTGGAATAAGATACTTTTTCATCATTTACCCTTTAGAACTTTTCAAATTTTTTTGTCATGAGTTATTTTCATTATAATGAAATAGAAAAATAGAAAAAGGAACTATCTGAAAACAAGGCCATTGCAGTGGAGTCAGATATGAGTTTGAATCTTTGTACTGTCATTGACTAGTTGTATGATCCTGAACCAGTTCCTTAACTTTTCCAAATTCTAGTTCTCTGATCTAAAAAAATGAAGATAATAATACAGTCTCAAAAGTTTCAAAGCTTCTCAGTACACACATACAAAAATGTTCTGTCTTTAGAAGAAAGCTCCATCCTGCCTTCTTCACGCTCCAGGCTGACCACTTGAGCTCTCAACATGATAAACTTTTTCCCCCCAGCATTTGCTCCGTATAAGCCAGGCAGGTATTAGTTTCTATGCAGAAAACAAAGTAGAATAAGAGTATCTGTGTTTAAGAAGTGACAAGTACTTGCTCCTTTTGTCCCATCTTCAATTATTCCTTCCTCAAAGGAATATAAAAAATGGTATTCCTTTAGAGGAGATGTTAATTAGGGGATATTAGAAGTAAATCATTAATTCTTACCAAAATCAAAGCATATTATAAATATTAATTCAACAAAATCCCAGTGAGTAGATTGATGCAGAACCAGAGTCCCGAAAGAACATTTAAGCTCCCACTGGATGCGTAAGCATGCCTGGAGTACGTACTTTATTTGGAATGTTGATATCACTTCCTGCTGCCAGTAACACTTTGCTGCATTCTTCATGACCTCCTTCAACAGTCAGAAAGAATGGTGTTTCTCCATTCTAACAACAGGAAAAATGATTTAAAATTAATTGTCCCTTGTTATGGAACGAAATTACTTGACAAACGGTATGTTTTCTCTATACCTTTTGCACATTACTCTTAATAACAGATAGCATTTTATCTTTGTTTTAAAACACTACTTCATTTAAAAAAAAGAATATGAAAATAAGTATTAAAAAAAACCAGCATTTTGTCTTCAAATGGTGTTGCATGAAAAAATGTATTTAAAAAATGAATAGCATTTATTGAGCAACTATGTTTCTGCTGATACTGCCAAGACTATGTGCTTTGGCAGCACATAGTTAACTATGGTACAGTTAACTCACACAAACCTATAAGGTCAGGGTTAGTATTATCCTCATTTTACGTGTAAGAAAAGCGGCAGAGCTAGGATGCAAGTCCAGCTGTTTGGCTCCAAAGCCTGCACTCTTAACTATTCTTCCATGGCACGTCCTTTCAGACTTTCCATCCATCATTCACACTCTTCACATTTATTTACTAATTTATGTAGCAAACATTTATTCAACTGTGTGTATTGGGATTGGAAGATACATAGAACACAGACACTGCCCACAAGAAGGTAACAGCCTGTTAAGAAAGATAATCTTGGAAAAGGGAATTATAATACAGCATGAAACATAAAAAATTAGAAGTATACATGTGTGAAGTATAGCTTTAATCTTTACAACTAATTTAAAATGTTGCATATCATTTTTAATAAGGTAATATTAATTTTTTAAAAAGTAATCTCAGTATTTCTCCTGAAACTCAGGATTAATACTAGTAGGATAAAGCGAGAGTTTAATTCAGGCCAACACATAGAGGAAAAAGAAGGAACTGGTCCCACAAAATAGCTGCTTTGATATTTCCTGTTCCTCATGCTGACTCTTTTCTAAAAATATTGGGAAGAAATGCAGAATTCCTTCCCCATTTCCTAGCCATTTCCCCCTTTGGACATTATTTTCTTAACAAGTACATTAGGATAAGTTCAGAAGGCTTTCCTTGTAGCTAATGAGGTATGAACAACCATGTTAACAAGAACATAAGAGCATGGACATCAGTGTTCCCATCCCAACAGGGTGGCAAAAATGCACCCCAGGCAGCTTTACCTCAGTGCCCAGGATAGCCATATGCTTATAAAGGGATTTCTCCCCATAATCTGTCTTCTCATTTTTCCAGGAAAACAGATGCCAAAAGACAAACCTCAGTGGGAAAAATATTTGCAAAAATGGGAAGGAGAGAATTCACATCTTTAATATATCCAGAGCCTAATACACATTCACATTTTTGACCCAACAATCTACCTCTAAGAATATACCTAAAGGAAATAGTGAGGAATTCAGACTAAGGTAAGGCAAAGAGATTTGTGACAGAATTTCCTGTAATATACAAAAACTGAAACAAACTAAATATCCAAGAGCTAAAGAGTCCATTCAGATGCCAAGACCGAGACAAAAACTGAAACAAATTAAATATCCAAGAGCTAAAGAATAGTTAAATGAATTTTGGGCAGCTGCTAAAAATATACTGTAGGTACATGCAAAGCAACACAAAGGAAACTGGAAGGGAAATACGTCAGATGTCTATAAGATAATTCTTGGAGTGTGGAAAAAATATGAAACTGCTATTTATGTTTATATTTTATTTCTGGCACATGTCTTACAATATATTGTTTATAAATGTATATGTGATAGGTACATGGCCAAACATTCTTTACTAATATGAGTTTGCTACCAAGCATGTTTGGAGACTACTGCTCTAGAGCATATACACGTGGGTCATGGGGTCACTTTAGCTGATCTGGCAACCACCTGTATCAGGAAGCAGAGGCAGCCCATGGCTGTATGAACATTATGAATCTTATTATCACTGTATATTTTATTTTGTGCAAATGAAACCCGTTACAATCTGCAATTAAAATTTGTTGGACTTTATGAGTTCTCCCCAGTGTGCCCTGACTCCAAAAGAGCTGTTAATAAAAGGTAGATGAAATCCATGTGCCCACATTCCAGTGATAAAATTTTAAACAGAATAGGGCAAGCATGACTAACACTTTAAATCATGGCTGGCTGCAGTGGCTCACACCTGTTATCCTAGCACTTTGGGAGGCTGAGGCCAGAGGATTACTTGGGGCCAGCAACATAGTGAGACCCTATCTCTACAAAAAGTAGAAAAAATTAGCTGAGTGTAGTGGTGCACACCTGTAGTCCCAGCTACTCAGAAGGCTGAAGCAGGAAGATCACGTGAACCCAGAAGTTGGAGGTTGCAGTGAGCTATGATAATGCCACTGCATTCTACACTGGGCAATAGAGCTAGACTCGTCTCACCAAAATAAAAAGACTTAAATTCTGAGACTATAGAACCTGAGCTCTGCTATAGTTTTGTTTTGTTTTGTTTTGTTTAAGAGACAGGGTCTCACTCTGGTGTGATCATAGCTCACTGCAGCCTCAAACTCTCGGGCTTAAGCAACCCACCTACTTCAGTCTCCTGAATAACTGGGGCTGCAGACACCAGCCACCATGCCCACCTAATTTTTTAAAATTTTTGTAGAGATGGAGTCTCATTATTTTGTCCAGGTTGGTCTCAAACTTCTGGCCTCAAGCAAGTTTCCTTTCTTGGCCTCCCAAAGTATTGAGATTACAGGCGTCAGCCACTGTGCCCAGCCTCTGCTATGGTTTGAATGTTTGTGCCTCTCTGAAATTCATGTTGAAATTAAATCCCCAATGCAATAATATTAAGAGGTAGCCTTTAAGAGGTGACTAGCACATGAAGGCTATTTCAGTCAACCAGGTGGTAAATGTCAGATAATTGTCATTGTTTGAGCAGTGCATTATATCAAAATGGGTGTCAGTGTCTTAGAAGACACTAAGAAGTCCTCCCTCTCCCTAAGCCTGGTCACATGTCCTGTGGACTCTGCCTCCTCCTGTCACTTCATGCTGTTTGTTGCCTGTGAGTGCCTCGGTGGAGGTCCTCCATAGATCTTCCTCCATTTTGGTAGTCACCTGAGTGGCCCTCCCCACTTCCTGGCTCTCTCAGCACTAATCTACCCTTCAAACAGCTGTGATAGTTACCTGCCTGCGCCCAAGGTAGATCTCATTCCTCCTTGCCATTTAAAACCCTTCAAGATCTCTGCTGGCAACGCATCAAAGTGGAACCATCCCCCTGGTAAGCACAGCCTCTTCCCATCTGACTGCTGTAGCTCACTTAGCTCCTGCTTTCCACGCTAACTCTTCCTTAACTTCTGCCCCCCTGAACTGGTCAGTCCCAGGACATAACACGCTCCTTCTCTTTCAGGCCTTGGTTCCTGAACATGGGCTCTTCTCTCTGTGTGAAATATTCTACAGTTGCACCTTCCTCAACCCTCTTCCTACCAATGTCCATTCAGATGCCAAGACCAAGACATCTATTACTGCATATAGCCCAATACATTATTTTTTTGCATGCCCTGCAGGCTTCTAGAATAAAAATACATACTTTGTCTAGCATAAAGTATATATTAAACAAACTTGCTAAATTAATAGGTGAATAAATAAATGGATTAACAAATGAAGTGCTGTGGGATACTCTGAAGAAAAAAGTAGGAATCTTTTAGCATCACATTTTACACCCTGTGTCACTAATATCTTTGTTTTCCTCCCATTCTTTTCTTGAAAGCCGCTCCTCCAACCCTTCCCCTATTAAGCCCTGTGCCCACCTGTAATGAACACGTCCACGTACCTCATTCATCTCATTTACTTCTTGCCATTGCGTTAGCAGCACCTTCACTGCAGGACTGTGACCATGCTTTGCAGCAAGGTGCAGGGCAGTGTTTCCCTCCTGCAACAGAGACACACTCAAGGCAGAATCCCCAGAGCTGGGGAACATGCCCTTTTCATCATAAGGGCTGCAAGCTTTCTGGAAGCTTTCATTTTGGTTAAAGGTGTGGTCCAGAGTATGGACCACATTATCTGCAGTTTTAAGTGAAATTTATAAACTTTTCAGTTTTAAATGAAAAGACAAAGCTGACTGAACCAGTAGGAAAAAAAATTCATGCTCCTTGTTCTACCTTTGCTATCAATTAGCTAGCAAAAAGTGGGATAGCAAAAGTAATTCCATTTAACTTATGTGAGGGTAAACTGGTGAAAGATTTCTGGGAGGTAATGTTAGCAATATCATATACCAAAAGATTTAAAAATATGCAGGACTCTTTGACCTACAATTCCACATCTAGGAATTTCTCCTAAGAAAATCATCCAAGATGTACATATAGATATGGATGCCTACCCTCGGGGCTTTTCCCTCCCCATTCATGAAGGGCTGAGTCTCCAGAAGATTTCAGGGGAGGAGAAAAGAGGGTTGGAGTTAATAGTGGAAAAATCCATGTAGTCTCTTGACTTCAGAAGTGTTTATGGAGCAAAAACTGCCAATGTGGGCAATCCACAGCATAATTGGGTAGACTTGCACGGATGTTCCATGATTCTGCTCTAGCAACAATTTAACATCTCTACTGCCGACCAAAATGCCCTCACCAAATCTGCACACCGATTGTTACTCTCCCACATCAACTGGTACTACACTTTCTCTTGTTCTCCTCAAAGAAAAAAAGTTCAACTTACCTTGTCCTTTTCTGAAGTATGCAGATTAAGGAAGATAAGTTTTTCTATCATTTCAACATGGCCCCTCTCAGCAGCCAAAAGAAATGGTTTTCTTCCTTTCTGAAAATCAATCACAAAGCTCCAGCATTTATATACCCTTAGTGAATAAGCAAGACAACTGACAAAGCTAGCAATATTTTAAGGGTGGTGAAGGGGCCAAGATGGTCCTTCTGGTCACATCATTCTAGTCTCTTCTTAGAGTAGGGAGATGACAATATCTTTGACCCCAAACTAGATTAAGTTCTGGGCTGTCACCCCAAATTTTGGGGAACTCCATGTCAGTATGGAATCAGTTTCATGAGGGCAGAGAAGTACTGTCCAGAAAAGGTCCTTCCAAGCATCAGGGGAGGCACATCATCACAGTCAGGTGACAAGACTCTCTTTCAAATGTAGCAATTTTATGAACTTTCTGTATTTATTCAATAATTTTTTTACTCAACTATTGACTGAGAAGTTACTACATGCCAGACCCCATCTCAGGTACCTGTGTATCACATTAAGCCTTGCCCTTGGGAGCCCCTGTGGAGAGGTACTAGGTGGGCTCAGCACAATGCCCCACAGAGCCTCCTGTGCATGTCTATACCCACAGCATTTCCCCTTACCCTGCGCTCAGGAACTTAAAGCAGAACTCCAGCATAAGGGGAAAACCTTGAATAGCTAGAGATTTCAGAGGGAAAATAATGTGTGCCATGAGGTTGAGGTGCTGTAAGAACAGTGTGTTATCAATGAATACTAAGAGGTAGCACTAACAGGGCAGGAGACACTGGGTTAGTTCTCTCCTTACAGACTGGAGCCAACAGGCTTGATTAAATCTAAGGTCGTTAAATATTTTCTTATGTCGATATAAGAAAACGGCTGTCTTCTCAACTCCCCTTATGTTCATTATCCCCACTCCTCCAAAAAAAGAAGCTTCTTTGCATTTTGACTTCCAGAGACTTCCTCTATAGACTCCTTTAAACCAATGGAAATTCCCCTATATCTGTAGCTAAAAATCAATCTAATATTGAACCACCAAACTCTTGTAAGTACTCAACAAATACATGAACAGCCTCTGAGGCATTCCTTTCCTCTCCAAACATGTTACTCTGAGTGTTTATTTTTGATCACCAGATGGAAGTTTACATGTAGATACAAAATATCTAGACTACTTTACCCATAACTTCTGGTTGTTCTAATTTCTTTCTCCTCTCAAGGATCTCTATCTAGGCCATGGAGCTGGGAGACATCTCAAAAGATTTCCCCTCACCTCCCATCCTCCATCTCTCCCACCCCTACCCCCACCCAAACTCTCCTGTTTTAAAAGGCCTCCTCCCAGGAAAGCTTTCCTTGTTAGCTTTTGGAGTTCCCTCCAGGCCAAAGAGGAGGATTTTTACTAATCCTGGTAGGTAAACAGGCTCTCAATCACTTTCTGTTGATAAGAAACTAGGCAAGACGGTAATGCTGTGCAGGTGGAGTGGTCTCAAAATTTTATCAAATGCATTTAATGACTCCACAATACTTTTGAAGGAGTATAGATGGGAAACCCAATGTTGAATGAGTAGACTCTGAGCTCCTGGCCCCAGCTCCAACTAGCTTTTTATTTTCTAATTTTTTTTAAATTGTGGTAAAATACTCATAAAAGTTCTCATCTTAACCATTATTAAGTGTATAGTTCAGTGGTATTAAATACATTCATACTGTTGTGCAATCATCACTACCATGCATCTCCATAACCCTTTTCATCTTGCAAAACTGAAATTCTGTTCCCATTAAACAATAACTCCTGTTCTCCCTTCCCCCCAGCCCTTGGCAAGTACCATTCCAACTGCCTTTTGCCAACACACTTGACTCCACTCACAGATCATAGAAAAAAAGTGGACTTTGTTTGTCTTTTCCATTGATCAAGCCAGTTTTCCTACACGACCGAAATTGGACTCAGAGAGTCTTTTTTCCTTAGATGACCCAGTGGACTCATTATTTGCTCATTTCTTGTATGTTTCTGAACCCATCTTAATTTAAGATCTCTCAGCTGGACATGTGGCTCTGCACAGTCTGCTGCCAGGGCTCCTCAGCCTTTCCCCAAAAGATAGTCAGAGAAGGAGGAAGGGTTCAGGATGAGCCCAGCTCCAGCTCAAAAGGGATGATGGACAGGAAAGCTGCTGGCCAGAAGAAACTCAAGAAGTAGGAAAGGCTCCCTGCTTTGGTCTTAGAACCTCATCGGTCTGCTTGATCCTTCCCAGATGCTGTGGTCTCCCATGAAAGCAGTCAGAGTCCCCTGAAGGGGGAATGAACCGTGTGTCTCATACCTAACAAAACCTCAACAAATATCTGCTGAACTGAACGGAATGGAATTCATTCATAGGCCACATCCCTACTTACCATGGATCAAACTGGAAAGAGCCCACTTCCTCACCATGACACTAAATGGTGTTTGACTATGATTGTCAGTTTGAGGAAATCAGGTAGCACATTTTATCCTATAACAATTGTTACAATAACTACCATTTAGTGAACACTTAGCCTGTGCCAGGCTCTTTGCTAAGCGCGTTATAGACATTACCTCATTTAAGCATCTCAACAGTGGCTGCTCCAATATTGCTACATAGGAATGGCTTAGGGATACTGTGTAGTTGGAAGGGGGTTATGGAATGGCCCATCATGAACCTCATTTGCATAGGTACTTTTACATAAGATTGAGGAAATATCAATCTTCTACATCAAAGAATGGAAGTTTGCTGAGGAAAAAAAAATTATATGAGGGACAAGACTTCCCCTATCATTGTTGATGTTACCATGAAGTATACTTTATTATTTTCATTGTACAAATGGAGAAACTGAAGCCTTCAGCAGTTGGAGAACTTGCTTAAAGCCACATAACTAATATATTGTGGCATTGCTTGAGTACAGCCCAAGTCTGTCAGCCTCCAAGGTATAAATGTATAGTTCTTTAGTCATATGTAGAGAAAGTAAAAGAAATTTATAGACCCAATTCAAAGAAATCATTTTTGTTGTTGTTATTGTTGTTAAGATTGAGGTCAATACAATGGAGTATTACTCAATTAAAAAAAAAAAAAGATTGAGGTCAGGAAAAAACGTAAAAATTTTTAAAAACAGGTGAAATGAAGGGAATATTACTGATCAACTTCTAGAGAAACTTTTATGGAGGAAAAATATTCTAGTGGTGCAGAGAAAAGTAGGTCCTATTCATGAAGTATATTCCACTGCTGAGGAATCAAAATGCTAACTGCACAAAGGCTATTACTGTTGCCTATAGAAAAAGCACAGAGGGAGATATTACAGGGAAAAAACAGTCTCTGGCACATGGGCAATGCCCACTGTCATCTGAGAAGGGAGAAAGTACAATATGATGACTGGAATCAGCCAGATCTGGCTTCAAATCCCGGCTCTGTCACTTTTTAGTTTTGAGACTTTGGATCAGGTATGTAGTTTCTCTGAGCCTCAATTTCTTCACCTCTAAAAAAAATAGCAAAATATCTCTACAGAATTGTTATGGGGATTAATGAGATAATTTACTCCTCCAACAGTGATTTTTTTAAGTATCGTAGGGGACAGGTCCTAGACTTCTTACTACTGAAGTAATGTCTGTAAGTATCTTTCTCTGTTCCTAGCATATTAATAAACATTCATTAAGTGATAGCTGGAATTATTCTGTATCTCCTTATGAAAATAAAAGGAATATAGACAAATACAATTTAACTGCATTGTATTCCATGGCTCATTGCTGTATAGCTTTGGGTCAAATGCATTCCCAAAAGACCAAGTAGAATAGAATAAAATTTGACCACACATTCTGAATATTAAAGGGCGTGGATACTATGTACACCCTGGCCAGGATGGGGGAGTAGAAAGGGAAGAAAGAATCTGGCTGCTTCCTCAATACTTCCTGTCCTCCCCACATGCAGGGGCTAGGATCACTGCCAACACCAATATATCCCTTCCATTCCATAGTCTGCCACGGTGATGGAGGAGCTGGCTATAGGGCTAGGTCCGTCTCTGATGGCTGCTCTTGTAGCTCTATCAGGGTGAGGAAGACAGTAGAATTTGGTGGAGGTGAATGCAAGATCTGCCCAACCACTGTAAACACACCTCATCAGGCTGGTTCAGGTCCTGCAGATGCAGATCTTGAATGAGGTACTCCATGATGTGCACATTATTGCTCTGAGCTGCAAAGTGGAGGGCGTTCATTCCATCCTAAAGAGACAGGGGGAAGGAAAGGGGTGATACTTACAGAGTGACCTCAGAATTTCCCCTCTCCTGCAATAGTGAGATAAAAACTTATGTCCCAGTGTGACCCACATACCTACCTGATTCTTAGCTCTCTGGTCAGCTCCAGCTCTAACCAGCATGAGCATGATATCAAGGTTTCCAGACCAGGCTGCAAGGTGAATTACTGTCAAGCCATGCTTCCCCACGAAGAGAAAAGAAGAGAATCTGTCACTCAGATGAACCCTAGCAAACTATCTCACCAAAAAGGCCAAGTTAATACTACATTGTTGAAAATTAGAAATAGACAATTTAATATACAGCAAAAGTAATACTTCAATTGTATTGCAAAAATGATATGTTTAATAAGTGGTACAAGCACAAGTGGTTCTCCATCTGGAAGAAAATAAAATGAAATGCTATATCACACTACACTCACAAAAAAGCACACAAACAATAAATAGATTAGAACAAAATCCAGATTATAATGTACAGTCTCTCAATCCAGAGTTCTAAAAGATAGATGATAAAGTCAATAAATGACAGATTTTTAAAAAATGTATCTTTAATAAGGATAAATGGTTATTCTTATAAATCAATAAGAAAAAAATAACTAAACTGACAGATAAATGGATAGAAAGGGAATGGAAACCGTTATTGTTTAAGCAATCTGGCAATATCTAATAAAAGTTAAAATACAACGAGCAATACCACTCCTGGGATCTATCCCATGAAAATAAAATTTCAGGACCTAATATTGCATATAGATTGTATATATTGGATATATATAGGATATACATTGGATATTAATTGTAACACTAAAAACTGGGAGCAAAGCAAATGGCTATGAGCATGGAAATGGTAAATGAATTGTGGGATAGTCATACCATATAATACAACCATTAAAAATAATGAATTAGTGCTATAACAATTGATTTGGAAAGATTTCCATGAGTTTTGCTAAATATGAAAAATAAGATGGAGAATAAATATAATATTAATATAATCCCATTTTTTAAAAAGCAACAAAATCCCCATGTGTATATGTATATATCTATATATATTGTAGCTAGATTGATATAGACATGATTATATGAACACAGAAAAAAAAACAGAAATAAACACAGATCTCAGATTGTTAATATAGTTATTAGAGGAGGGCAGGGTACACAAAAGTGAAAAAAAAAAACAACAAAGACAAGTTATAAAAAGGATCCCATTTATACAGAAGCTATTTAAAAGATTCCATTTATACAAAATGATACGGGGGGGGGTATGTGTGCACAAACACATGAATGCATAAAGTAGTTAGACTGAGAGCGAAATTCAGATCAGAACTTACCTGTAGGGATGCTGTGGGCAGTTGTAAACTGACTTGTATACCGAATAAGCAGAGAGAAAAGTGAGAAAGCAAGCACAGCCAGCAGTTAACATTGGTTATTTCAGGAAAGTAGGACTGGAGACGAGTAAACTGACAAAAACTGATCTCTACCTAGAGAAGCAGTATAGGGCAGACATTATGAGCAGGATCTTTAGGATCAGAATTGACCTCCTGTTCTGGTCACTTACTACCACCTTCAAGTACTATAATTGTGGTCAACTAAGTTAACTCTCACCCTCAGCTTCCTTATCTATAAATTCCAGTGTCTGCTTTATCCCTGTCAAAAAGTAATCCATTTTCTTTTACAAGTGCCTGCCCAAAGCAAGCCCTTTCATTACCTCTTATTTGCCTCTCCTAATCAGCTATGTTTGTAATCCAGGAAACCAGTTTGCTAAATGTAGACAGTATGAATAATAAATAAGGAATGAAGGTCTGCAGGGCACTTCTATTTGTATAGTGCATAAACCTTTTTGCATTTATTTTGGCTGCCCTAGAAATTGCATTAATGTATTCTCTTATTCTCAGTAGAGTTGGGAGAGTGAAACAGCAAGTTTCAGATTGTTGAGGTATGACTCTAAATTGGTGGTACCCAACTGAGGGTGATTTTGTCCCAAGGGGACATGTGGAAATGTATGGAGACATTTTTGGTTGTCATGACTGAAGGGTAATATTAGCATTTATTGGGTAGAGGCCACAGGTGCTGTTAAAGATGCACAGGACAGCTCCCACAACAAAGAATTATCTAGCAGAAAAGTCAGTAGCACCACTGCTGAGAAACCCTGCTCTAAATGTACATACCGTATCAAATTTACATTTCAGCTATCATAATAGATGGTGAGTTAGTACATTTATATATTTACAATTCCAGCATGAACAAAACTCTTAACAATTTCTGCACTCTTTGTCCCAAGGAACAATGATGTACAATGGCTAACTAGTTGAGGGTTTTTAAAAATAATGTGCTCTAAACACAATTTCATCTCTTAATTTAGCCTTTCCTACAAATCAATGCTCTATATTCAGTAGTACTAAATCTGGTTTCACATATGGCCTCTTTTATGAGACCAGAACTATTTGAGACAGGTGATAAATCATGCTTTGATAGGAGCTCTATTTTTCCCTAGGAAGTCATTCCCAATTTCAAAGCAACCAACATTTAAAAATTCCAGGCATAGATCATAAAATCTAAAAGCTGGGAATTCAAGCTGCAAACAACTTCGGTCTCTAAAACCACAAATTCAGAGTGGAGCCATTGTTCCTCAGAGGCAATGAATCACTGCTCACAGATGTAAATTCCTCCACAAGAGCCTTCATAAGGCAAATTCTTCTGATATGAAACTGGCATGCCTGAGGCTGTTTAAGAGCATGTGTCATGGTTCACACTCACAGTGGGCTCCTGATGCTCTGTGAAGCATAAAATGCTCGATAGTCACCCACAGCCTATCCTCATTACCAGTCTAGTCACAGGCGAGGTCCATAACTTCTCTGGAGAACACTTACATTTGAGGAGCTTCCCAGAGACAAGAAGCTCGGAACACAGATGCTTATCATTATCCCCTGAGTACCACCTGCACGCCCACCTGGGATCCTCTGTTCATCTCTGGAGTAAGGGACTCTATTTATCTAGTCTGCCTCTTCCCAAGATTCAGGGATGTGGCCCACTTTGAACCTGGAGGTTCTCAGTGGCTGGGCCATGCATATTATTCTTAGCACTCAGTGCCTTGAATGGTACTTATCTGCTACAGTCTCCTCCTTGCTCCCTACATAGACAGTAGGCACCTCAAAGGGACTACATTTCACATCAGTGCTTCCCAAACACAATCACCTGATGATTTTTTAAATTGCAGATTCTGATTCAGGAGGTCTGGGGTGGGGCCTGAGATTCTGCATTTCTAATAAGCTCCCAGTTGAAGCCCATGCTTCTGGACCCAAGAACACACTTTGAGTAGCAAGGACTTACATCTAGTCGAATCCCCAGCAGTTGGCATTGAGAATTAACGCCAACAGGCACTGAATAAGTATGGATGGTGAAGAGGGTTCAAGTGTTAGTTCTTTGTAAATGAATGTTAGAATTTAGAAGACAGATCTGCCATGTCAAACTCAAGTCTCATCACTCAGATAAAAATGCTGCTAGATCTGACAAAAAATGGCATTGCTTGAATTATGAAAAAAATTTTGCTGGTTACATACTAATGCCACGGTGCATGATTAAATCAGTAGCAAAAATATTTAATTTCGTAAAACTTTCAAAGCAGAGAAAATAGAGATATTAGATATATAAGGAATTACTATATTTCCCATCTGAGGGCATTTTAATCTTACAAGGCAAAGTTAAGAGAAGCTAATGCTAGCCAGAACCATGCTTCACATATAGGGTAATACAAATACATGTTTAGAAAAGCCTCAAAGAGAACCAATAGGTAAAACATCTCTGCATCATTTCAGAAATAATTGGTTTACACTCTGACATAAACCAGTTCTATATTTAATGCATTAGAAATATGGCAATCTTCAGGTAAGCTGTTTAAAAGAAAAGATGCTATTCAATCTGGGCAGTGGATACATATAAGTGTTTGTTGTACAATTCTCTATACTTTGATAGTATGTTAAAGATTTTGGGTTATGTTTCTGGTTAAGCTGGAGTAAGCACACTCACCCTGTCTCTCCCATCAAATATACTAAATAAAATTTCTGGACAGAATGCATGGAACAGCTGAGGACTGAAAAATAAACGGTAGCTGGAGAATTGGGGAAGGAAACTAGAACTAATGATATGAATAATCCTGTAATGAGTTTCCTGGTTCTTTTTTTCCTCCATATCTTCCAACTTGGACTCAAGGTAGCAAAAATCATGAACTGTGCTCTGAGCACAGACTGCAAGAGTTCTAAGAGAAGGCCTACTGTTCTGCTCTAAAGGAGCAGAAGGAGGCCCCAGTAGAACAGAAAAGGTAGGAGAAGTCCTCTGCATCTTTTTTCTCTTCTGGCCCTGCCCCCAGCTAAGCCCCATTCCCAAAGCTGCACCTCCACAGTAGTAGGAGTAGCAGCAATGGCTGGACTAACACCTAAATCTCTGACGCAGGGGGATCCTTCTCTCTCACCAGAGGAACTGTGGCCAGAAAGTGGGGTGGAGGAAAAATCCATGTTTTTTGTTTTCTTTTCTCTCTCTCTCTTTTTACTCTCCCCCTGCTTGGTCCTGAAGGCAGGTGTAATTGCGGGAAGTACACAGCAGTACTGGGCGACTATACCCTTGGTTTTCCAAACAGAAGATCAGGATAAGGGGGAAGGAGAGCTGGGGAATGTGGGGGAGATGATCATGGAGAAGAGGGAGCTTGAGAAAGGGATTCCATAAAGTTGTGCATGTACTCCTAGGCTTATGCCTGACAGCATGACAAGGGCTTGGAGAAATTAACTATGGGGCAGACTTCAGACTGTCTAGGCCTCAGACTGGTCCCTGAATGGCACAAATCTAAATAGCACTGCAAAGGTTTTGAAAACTGAAGCAACACTGGTGTCAAATAGTGCTGAAAAAAATTGGTCATTCATATGCAAAAACAAAAGAACCTCGATCTATTTCTAACTTGTACTAAAAGTAACTCAAAATAGACCATATATCAAAATGTAAAACAAGAGGCTATAAAAATTTTAGAAGAAAAATGTGAGAAAAGCTTCATGACCTTAAGTTAGGCAATTAGAAATAGCACCAAAAGTAAGATTCGTTTTTAAAAATAGGTAAACTATACTTCATCAAAATTAAAAACTTTTATTCTATGAAAAACATCTAAAAAGTCAAGCTACAGACTGTGAGAAAATATTTACAAACTACATATTTAACAAAGGACGTGTATCCAGAATATATAAAGAACTCTAAAAACTCAATGATAAGAAAACAAGCAAATTAAAAAAAAATATTCAAAAGATTTAAATAGACACTTCATCAAAAAAGATATACAAATGGTAAATAATACATGAAAAGATGTTCAATATCATTACCCATTAGGGAAATGCAAATTAAAACTACAATGAAATGCCTACTCACCTATTCAAATGGTTAAAATTAAGGGGGGAAAATGTCAATACCACATGCTGATAAGGATGCAGAACAAGTGGAGGAACTCTCCCTCATTGCTGGTGGAAGTGAAAATGGCATGGCTACTCTGAATAGCAGTCTGGCAGCTCCTTGGAAAGTTATACATATACTAAGTATATGACCTAGTAATCTCTCTTTCTTTTTTTTTTGAGACAGAGTCTCGCTCTGTCATCTGGACTAGAGTACTGTGGCATCAGCCTTGCTCACAGCAACCTCCAATTCCTGGGCTCAAGGGATCCTCCTGCCTCACCATCCCAAGTATCTGGGACTACAGGCATGTGCCACCTCACCTGGCTAATTTTTTCTATTTTTAGTAGAGACGGGGTCTCGTTCTTGCTCAGGCTGGTCTTGAACTCCTGACCTCAAGTGATCCTCCCCCCTCGGGCTTCCAGAGTGCTAGGATTACAGGCAGGAGCCACTACACCCAGCCAATGACCCAGTAATCTCACTCCTAGGTATTTACACTAAAGAAATGAAAACATATGCTTATACAAATACTTATAAACAAACGTCTACAGTAGTTTTATTTATAATAGTCAAAAGCTGGAAACAACCCTAATGTTCTTCACTGGTGAATGAATACGTAAACTGTGGTACAACCATAAATTAGAATAATATTCAGCAATAAAAAGAGAAGAGTTATTGATATATATAACAATATGGTTGAACTTTAGAGGCATTTTTCTGAGTAAAAGAAGCCAGTTTCAAAAAGTTGTATACTATATATCACTTATATGCCATTCTCAACAAGGCAAAACTATAGAGATAGAGCACAGATTAGTGGTTGCCAGCATAGGAGAGGTTTGACCAAAGAGGTGGTATGAGCGAATGTTCTGGGTGATGGAGCTGTTACATTTTGATTGTGGTGGTGGTAACATGAATCTATACGTGGGTTAAAACTCATACACTATACACTAAAAAGAAAGTTACTTATACAGTATGTTAATTTAAAAATTAAAGTAAAATAAAAAGATACTGTATCAGGTTTTCAATGGCAAAACAAGAATACACTTGGCTAATCTGGCCTATTACCAAAGTGTCTTTTGTAGGCTAATACTGTAAAATAATAAAATAATAATTTCTAGACCTAAAGGACACTTTCCTTAATTACCATATCCATTAATACAACTAATTACACTCACAAAGCTAGAGTGTTTTTGGTGCTAATTTTAATTTTTTTTTTTTTTTACATAACAATCTACCTGTCCACCAATACCAGAGCAATAAACCAGAGAGGGGCGTGCCCCACTGGTGACACAAAGAGAAACTCTCATTATTATCAAGTCTAGGCCTTATCTATGATTGCCAACAAGATAACCAATAGGTGTAAGCTGACTTCATTTGTTTATCTCCCAAACATTTACTAATCACATACTAAACCCAGACTCTGTGAGATGTGAAGGTAAAGCAATTCTGAGCCTTATGCTCCAGGGAGTCACAGTTCAGAGAGAAAATAGAATATCTCTGTGGGAATCTTCTGAGCAGTTTAATTTAAGAACTATGGTTCACTGGATTAATTAAGAACTAAGAACTTTAGAGGAAGGCTATCATCTTATTCTGCAATGTGAGATGATAAACATGATGCTGGGTCTCTCTCTTTCCTTGTGCCATGGTAAAGTATTAAATGAAGGTGGGAGCCGGGCTCACGCTTATAATCCTAGCTCTCTGGGAGGCTGAGGCGGGCGGATTGCTCGAGGTCAGGAGTTCAAAACCAGCCTGAACAAGAGCGAGACCCCGTCCCTACTAAAATAGAAAGAAATTAATTGGCCAACTAATATATATACAAAAAATTAGCCGGGCATGGTGGCGCATGCCTGTAGTCCCAGCTACTTGGGGAGGCTGAGGCAGGAGGATCGCTTGAGCCCAGGAGATTGAGGTTGCTGTGAACTAGGCTGACACCATGGCACTCACTCTAGCATGGGCAACAAAGCAAGACTCTGTCTCAAAAAAAAAAAAAAAAAAATGAAGGTGGGAAAAGTAGGTGAAAAATCCTAAAAGTGGGTTTTGAATATAGGTAGACAAATAGTTAAGCTGATCTATATCTAAAAGCATGGTCTCTGGAATCAGACAGGCTCATTCAAATCCTGCCTTCACTCTTCTTAGATGTAATTTTTTGGGGTAAGCTATTTAATCTCTCTGTCTCAGGCTCCTCATCTGTGAATTAGTTATTATAATAATACTTCTCTCATAGGTTGGGGGATGGTAAATATCAAAGTCCTAATCCCTGAGGCCAGTTAGAAGTCTTCCATGACCCAGATTATATTCTGAACCACCACTTTACTCTTATAAATGCATGCCATTGGCCATAAGGTCAACATGGGAAAAGTAGCAAAAGCCCAAGTCCTACAGTTAATGGGTAAACAATTTAGTCACCAAATACAAAGAGCGCATAATATGTATATTCTGTAAAAAGACCTTTCCAAAACGAACGCTACTAAAGGAAATATTTTGTGTGCATGTGAAGAAAAGACATCTGGCGTGATCAGATTCTCCTTGTACATTGGTTACGCTACAACACATTCTACCAGACGAAGATGGGCTTACCTTATCAACAACATCCACCCTGGCCTTGTGATTAAGCAAGAAATCCACTGCAGATAAATGATTTCCCCCAACTGCAAAATGCAAGGCTGTACGGTTCATCTGAGGAAACATGATTTGTGTTTTTAGTCATCTGATCATTATTTATCTTTTTTAGGGTTCCTGTTTCTTGGATGGCCAGCCATAATTTTCTATCAGTTGTTTCTCTTTTGATTATTTTGCCTTACTCTTTGCTTTTACCTTGAACATTTTAAGAATTGTGTTCAGCAGAATTTTGCCATCATTATCAGATGACATGAGAGAATCTGGCAATCCACTGATGGACATACCTCAAGCTGAAACCCACTGCATAACCTGTCATATAGCAATATATTGGATTTCATTTAGAAAGTAAAAGTTGTATTTCCCCCCATATGCAATCATTAATAATAGTATTTTTTTCTGCTTAGGATATATTGATATTGCATAGCAAAAATTTTCTTAGATGTTCAATTCATTCATGTTCTTTCTCCTACAATTTTTTTAGAGTATAAATTTTACTGAAAAAAATAATTTGCTTCTGAAAGGAAGATGAAAAAAGGGAAGAAAGGAGGAAAGAAAGATACAGAAAAGGACAGACACTGAGAAAGACAAAGAAAGCAAGCTATGAATATCTTTCACTCCAAAGGAAAGTCAGACAATGGAGTTTTTGCTTGTAAGTAATGTATGTGTTTTATTTCCCATATTTTAGACTGTTTTAGCTCCCAAAAAAGATGCCTGAGCATGGCTTTATTATTCTTAGTTTCACATAATTAATCACAAAAATATAAGAACTGTTTAAATATTTTATTTCTTGGTAGTGTCAACCTGAATAACAAATCAGAGAGAGCTTCTCTAAAAAAGATATTTATAAGGGAATAAAGCATTGCAATAGGAATACACATGCCATAGTAAACTATGTGCATATTCATCTAGATAAAGGAACACAAACGTTTTTAAAGAAAAAAGTGAGGAAGATCACATAATTATTTTGAAATGATTATCCTTGGTTACAAAGATCAATAACAAGGGTGACGTCAATCAGAGGTTGGAGAGGTGGTTGCTGGACAGATGTCCTTGCAGAAGTATTTTTTGTGTAAGATTGCAATGGCCTTTGTACAAGGTTGTGGTTTTTGCAGTCCTTTGTGATAGTTTCTGTTATCAGGCATACAAGCATGAGAACTCTCTCTTCATAGTCCTCCCTGGCTCTATTTGTCAGAGTTTTCTTAACATTACTGACTCTATTTTGATTCTGACAACTTTCAAATAGCTAAACTGGTGATAAAATAAAGTTTGACAAAACATGAATTACTTTGACATTGTCTGCAATTAGAGATTTGCTCTACTATGTCAAATTTGGGCCTAAAAGCTCCCCTATTAATTTTATTTGTGAAAAAGGACGTGAGCCAAAATAGCATCCTAGATAATTCAATAAAACCATTTACATTTTTTACTCTCTATAATCAGAGATATTAAGGAACTCCACAAGTAATGATGTCAACAATTTGTCATATATAGGATTAAAACAGATGTCATTAGAAAGTATAATACAGTTTATCAGGAACTTAAAATAATTTGCCACACTGTTTATAAGTTACATTACATTAGATCATTCTATCCCTCCAAGTACTTTAATGTAAAAACATGGTTTAAAGTATCAGAAAGTTGTATGTAGAAAAATTTTAAATGGTTAAAAAGTATATTGTAGAATATTTCCTGATACTTGGAAAAATGATTACTGCTTCACATATTCAACAAGTCATTTTTTATGGTCATAATAATCTTCAGATGCATATATCCATAAATATTTTTGAAACTGTGTAAATATTACCTTCAATGATCCTTGCTTTTTTCTGTTCATATCTTTTCTCTCCCATCTATCTTCTCTTCTTTCCTCCCTTCCTTCCTTTCTTGATTTTCTTCCTTGTTTGTTTCTTGCTAAAATTGTTATGCTACAAAAGTTTACTGTTTTTCTGCTCTTTCTAAGATATCTATGGAATAGGAATACTATATACACCCAACATACATCAGACACACACATACTTGCATGTACATACACTATCTACATACACATGGAAATCCACACACATAAACTCATACCCTCTCACATACACATGCTCTCCTTTGCTAAACATCCTTCCACTACATATGATGAGTGACTTCGAACTCTACAGTTTCAGTTTCTATGACTTGCTGCCTGTGACAGATATAGGAATTCTGGTACATGAGTTTAGACTATTTAGGGAGCCCTGTTTAAAGTCAGAGTCGAAGGGTTAACTAATTGCAGTTAAAAATGTATTACTTTTTAAGATTTTTATATAATAAAACAGCCATGGAAACGTATTTCTAGAGCCCTCCCAGTGTCCTGGAAGGGCCCTGTATAAGCAAGCAGGGGCCCTGAAGCTTAGGCTTCATTGAGCATTAAATCCACCTTTGCTATACCTACCTTGAACCACTCCACAAATAGTCCTAAGTAACTGACACAGCCCCCAATCTGTTTACTTTGATAAACCCTGCCTTGAGGGGCTGTCAGGAAATCCTCACAAAACCAAGCAGTAGGGAATCCATATTTCTGGCAGTGAACTTCTCTCCCAAAACCCAGGCATTTGAAGAACAAGCAAGAGCCAGGTTTCCAAAAAGGACTTTTGCCCAAAGTGCAGATGCACTATATTTTGAAAGCTGTAAAAAGAAAATCCATATGCCCCTTTGGATTTTAAATTTGGAAAAACCCAACCACAAAAGGACATCATTGGAAAGAAAACAACCCAGATTTTATAGCAAAACACATTCTGCTGTTTTAGAATGTGTGAAGCCAAACTGATCCACAGGCTACAATCCAAGACCAAGTCTGAGCCCATTACCTTGACAGCTGGCTTTCCTGACCACCTACAGACTTTGCATAGATGTGCATAATGAACACCCAGAGGCTATTTCACTGCTTGATTCCACCCTTAAACATCCCAGAATTACAGACAAAGGAGATCTCCCTCATATCAGCTAGCATAGTCATTTTTATTTTTATTATTATTTCAGTTGATCTGTAAAACCCAAGTCACCACTTGGAGTAGTCATTTGTCATATTTGTGACTTCTACTCACATTGTTCACGGCATTAATGTTAACTTTCTTTTCAAACAGCATCTCCAGAAGAACCAAATTATTGCTTTTAGCAGCTTTCTGAAAGCTTTTCTCATTTGGCAGTACTGAAAAAAAAGCAAGGAAGCATGATTGAGAAAATGTAAAGAGGCCAAAGAGAAAGCACATTTCATGTGCTAAGTTTTGTAACTCTAAAACTTGAAACAACAGTCTGGAGTCTTTTACATTTTGCTATTTTATTTAGGACATGGGGACTTTGCTTCAAATATTTTATAAAGCTACAGTATCAAAATTCCACTTTCTTCTCATACTGTGCTTTCACACACTTAAAAAATATTCCTGACTTCAAACAAAACATTATGCACAAGGACCACACTGAAGTCAGCACTGTGGTATCTGGTTTAAGAGGTCAAAGGGTGGCCTTAGATTTCCCAGGGGACATTGTTTGTAAAAAGCTTGTAAAAGATTAGACAGGGAGGAGTCCAAATGCTCCAAACAGCTTATAGAGATAAAACTCTTGTCTGCAGAACTTTGAAAAGATGCCAAGCCAGCAGGAACAAAACCTCAAAATGCAGCCCATCATATATATATACAAACGCTAAAAGAGATGAACATATTAATGCTTTATTCTTATTTATATGAAAAGATGTAAAAGTAGATTCACACCTAATGTAAAATTTATATATACCCATATATACACATTTAGATGGCAGGCTTTATTAACTAGCATAGAAAAGATTCCAGGATTTTTTGAGTTTTTTTGGTCATTTAGAGAAGCTAGATCAGGGGACAGCCCCAACACTGGGGGATAAAATCAGAATTGAGGTTAAGTAGAATCAACAATATACCATCTCCAAAAAGAAAGGAGCATAACAAAGATTTTGTAGATATGCTGCTAAATATTTTCCCAAGTTTTTGCCAAAGACTTTTCAGAATACTGCCAAGTCCAATCAAGGACCAAGGAGTATCTTCAAGGAGATATTGATATGGGCTGAATTGTGTCTCTCCAAAATTCATATGTGGAAGTCCAAACCCCTAGTACCTCAGAATGTTGACTATATTTGGAGATAGGGCTTTTAAAGATGTAATTAAGGTAAAATAAGGTCATATGGGTGAACACCAATCTGATATGACTGGTGTTCCTATAAGAAGACAAAATTAGGCCGGGTACAGTAGCTCATCCCTGTAATCTTCGCACTCTAGGAGGCTGAGACAGGAGGATCACTTGAGGCCAGGAGTTCAAGACCAGCCTGGGCAACATAGCAAGACCCTGTCTCTACAAAAAATTTTTAAAATTAGCTGGGCATGATGGTGCATGCCTGTAGTCCCAGCTACTCAGGGGGCTGAGGTGGGAAGATTGCCTGAGCACAGGAGTTTGAGGATGCAGGGAACTGGGATTGCAGCAGTGCACTCTAGCCTGGGCAACAGAGTGAACCCGCCCTCAAAAAAAAAAAAAAAAAAAAAAAAAAAAAAAAAAAAAAAGAAAGAAAGAAGAAGAAGAAGATTAGGATACAGACACATGGGAAGATCATATGAAGGCAGAGGGAGAAGGCTGCCAGCAATCTATAAGCCAAGGCGAGAGGCCTGATAAGAAACCAACACTTTACCAAAGAGAGGGGGAAATTAAAGGTGGTCTTCCTAATAACCCATCCAACAGAGGAAAATAAACTATAAAACTTGAAAGTAAGAGAAATAAACTTACAACACAACTACCCTTTGTTTAATTAAAACACGTTGTGGCCTAACTTGTTATCTTTGAGTTCTTCCTCAGCCTTAAAAAAGTTCCTGAGCAGACAGTAGGAGTGGGAGCTTCCCCTGCTTCCCCAAGAAGAGACAGTAGCACTAGATGCTTCTCGCTATCAAGAAGAAGCTAATTCTGCTATCACTCTGCTACGTGAGAAACAGAAAAAGCCAACACAGCAGCTTCACAGCCGCTTTTATTGTCAGTCCCCTTAAGTAGAAATAAAAAGCCATTTTTATCCTTTACAAGCACCAAGCAACTTTCCTCACTGCCCAACATTTCTTTCCTCCCTCTGTGTGTCATGGCCACTTTCTCTCTCTTTCTTTTTCTTTCTCTCTTCTCTCTGTAGCTCTTTCTTTCTTTTTCAGGAAAATAAATAAATGTTTACTTTTTGTATATCCTAAAAAAAAAAAGAGACACCAGGCCTGACAACTCTTTGATCTTTGACTTCTAGCCTCTAGAACTATGAGAAAATAAGTTTCTGTTGCTTAAACCACCCACTCCTAGCAAACTAATATAGATTTACATGTTCATTCTTTTTTCACCTCTCTTTCTTCTGCTTGTCACCATTCTAGGTGAATTCAGTATCCTTGCAGATGATTAAGGTAATACCTTGGCCTCTTAGTTCCATAACTCCTTCTCTTCTGATAATCTTTCACTCTTCTGGCCTCAGCCATCCAATTACAGGGGCATACTTTTTTTAAATTTCAGAGTATTATGGGGGTACAAATGCTTTGGTCTCATAAAATGCCTTTGCACTGAGTCAAAGCTACAAGCATGCCCATCCCCCAGTTGGCCTGTACCGAACCTATTTAGTGTGAATTTACTTATCCCCACTTCCCGGTCCCAGAGGCACACTTTTGACCTCATTATCACCTAAACTATACTACCTCTGAAATCTTGATTTGAAAAATCTCATTCTCTGACCACACTTCTGATCCATTCAGCTCATCGGCTCTATTTCTCCAAGTCCAAAAATTCTGCAACCTCAAGAAGTTCTCCAGTCCTCTAACTCTCTTTTCGTATTATTCATCCCTATGTTCTTACTTCCCTCCTTACCATGTTTAGATTCCCTGGTGTCAATTTGTTTGTGCTGCTATAACAAAATATCTGAGACTTGTAAAGAACAGAAATTTATTTTTCACAGTCCTGCAGGCTAGAAGTCAAAGATCAAGGCACCCGTGTAGGGCAGAGGAAGGGCAGAAGAATTCTTCCAATTGTTGGGAATTTACTTGGGTGGGGCAATGAGCTAACCAGGAGAATAAAAGAGAAAATTTGAGTGGGAAGAAGAAATATTGCTTTAAATTGCTTGAATTAAATGTGAAAGAGGAGAGCTAAGTATTATTTAATAAATAAATATAATATAGGTTTAGTTGAATCAAGCCCACACGGTCTATCGCCACTTGTAGCTGCGTGCCTGTGGCCTGTGTCATTATCCCCTGTGTTTATCCTCTCAAAGTTTATAGCTTCATGCTTACATTTGTTATTTATCCTATTGACTGAACTAACGACCTCCCGACTTGTGAGTTCATTGAGTTTTTTTTGTACACTAATATGGCCTACAAGTTATTACAATGATTTGCTATTCACATGCTAGATGATTCCAATTTGATCTCAATCTCATTTAGTTTGTCTAAGTAATGATTAATCCCTTCTCCCTTGTCAAGGCCCTCCCCGATAACTTTGATTTAATAATTAGGAACCGCCTGTATTCGAGTCTGTTAGCCTTTAATTCCCAAGACTGCGCATTCTCAAACAGTAGCCTCTGGAGCAGATCGAACTTTCATTTGTGAGTTTACTCTTATGACAATCACTCATCGCTTGTTGATTTGTGATTTCCTCGACTGGTTAGATAGATACCTATTTATATCCATAAATGGAATGTTATCTTCCATTGAAACTTTCTCTCTAAGTCTATAAATTCGTTATTATCTTTTCAAATGTGTTTCTGGCCACCTTCATCTTTTTTGTCTTCATACTAGAGCACAGTTTAGAATGTCGACGGCCCTAGTGCGGGGTGTGGCCGGAACCCTCCCACGCCAGCTAAAAGCTCCCTCCCTTACTACTGACGGCTCAGATTCACGTAGGCAGTCGCGGTGCCACTGTGTCATACCCTGGCTCAGAACGTAATGTACGAACAGCAACTGCCTGAGCAAGGAGCGAGACATCTAGCTGTTTTGGATGCGTGCTAAAAGTTCAGGGCCTTGCACATACTGATTTCTTTACCTTATATTAGGAAATAGCTCCTGTCTCACAACCCTGTAAATGTCATAGGCAAGCTTCTCGCAATCTGGCACATATACCACCTACCTTACATATCCCAGAAGTATGTTAGCCGCGGCGCCATGAGATGGGTGGCTTACAATCTCCCTGTAGTTCCAGCTACTTGGGAGGCTGAGGCACGAAGAGAGGATCAGTACTGCTTTGAGCCCAGGAGTTTGAGGTCTTGCGCGGTCGTGAGACACTAGGCTCCATTAGACGCCAAACGGCACTTCAACTTAGCCTGTGGCAAAACCAAGCGCAGACCCTGTCTCAAAAAAAAAAAAAATTTAGACTATCATCCCTTGTCTCCATACATCCCAGTTCATTCTGGCATTTTTGATTGTATCTATGCATCTAATCCTCTGACTCACTTGCAGAGAATTGACATCTATATGCAAGTTGATCCCCCCTTCCAACCATGACTTGATAAGCTTTCCATTTTTCATTTTTTAGTCTTGCCTATGTTAGTATAATATTAAATAACCAGTTCCATTGTAATAGTCTTTATGGTATAATACACCGATAGATTAAGCGACTAGATTAGATAGAAGATAACTTTTTGTGATAGGATTTCATTGATGTAATGATACAGTCCCAAAGTTCACTTCTAATGATTTTCTTGAGAGTCGAGAGTTGCACCATATTTTTGAATCCCATGCTGCTAATTTCTATTTTATATCCAATGAATCGCTCTATCCAACTTCTTGTTTGGAGGGTTGCCATAACAGATAGCAATTGATTTGCTGGGTAGAGTGGCCCTTTGCCTAGCTTCTGGGTTGACATCCTTATAATCCTGCAACTTTGTAATGACTCAGTGGCAGATTACGTGACGCTAGTCGTAGAGCTGTCTTTTACATTTCTTCATGAGCATGTCGTAAACTGTGGTAATCTACCGTCCACCGTCTGTCCAACTAGACTTCACCCGACCAGGATGCGTTCTACCAAGGTGTTTTCAATTTGTGAGGCCCTTGTGTCTTTCCTGCGTCGATCCTGTTTTACCCACTTTTGAGCGGACCATGGCGCCACTGACGAGTGTTCAGGCAATACGCTATTAGTATCAAATGAAGCAGAGGGTACGAGGTGAGGGAGAAGTTTAGGACTCCC